TTTTTCTTCATACCTATACACACGCACACAAACACACAAACATATATATATGTATACTGATAATTTAATATATAATATCGATATGATACATACTTCATAAAGTTTTAGATATTTGTGAATATTATTATTACTTTTACCTTGTCACCCAGACAAATAGTTGTCGGCGACACTGACTACTGTACCAAAAGGCCTGAGTTCGTATCCTGGAGAAGACATGGATTTTTTTTAAATGCATGCAAATGTGCGGCATGGGGGCACTCAAAACATATGGTGAACCTCTTAAGTAGTTTGGTGGTGGTGGGGGGAAGAGGTGTAGGAGAAGCTTGGACCCGCCCCCCCGGCATGTTCTTTTTCAAAATTGGAGTAGAATTGAACAAAACTGTGCTGTTAGTGGCCATGACAGACGGAATCTTTCAATTTTGACACAATAAAATTCTTGGGCTTGTTTTTTTAGGCCAGACACGTGAGATTAGCCACGACAATAACACTTTTACCTTATTTGGGCATAAGTGTTCAAAACAGTAGATATTTTTTTCGTTTTGATTCTGACACACCGCGCCATTCTTGGTTAAATTTTCATTATAAATAAGTATACTGATAGCTGTGGGGGGAAAAAAATATCAAGTGACGTTTATTAGAAATCAACGCGGAAAGTGATTGGAAATAATTATAATGTTAATGATTTAATTAGAAATAATATTTTAAGGGTGCAAGGAAATTGCAAAGAAAGGCAGGGTTGCCATATTTGGCGCAAAATCGCCCATTTGGCGAAAACATCAGCGGTATGCCATAGACGGAGAACATTCGAGAACGATTTCTCACCGGTTTGGCCCAGAATGTTCTTTAAAGCAGGCCAAAAGCTATATAAACCCTGCCTGTATAGGGAGTAGCAGTTGTCAAGTATATCGTACTATATCCTAGTGCATCGAGAGTGTGTATCGTTGAGGCTATCGAGTGTATGGCGAGTTAGTGCATCGCGAGAGTTTATCATCAGAGTATAGCGTAGCTTATCGTCAGTGTATCGTGAGTTTTATCGTGATGAATCTTGTGTTGAGCTCCGAGATCGATCAACTGAGTGGGGAGCTGTATTTAGTGTTTTGCCGTGAAGCTATCTTCACTGTTATAGCTTTAGCCGGAAGGCTTGTTGCTCATCGTTTCAGAGTGTTTATCGTTGTTTTTCGACAATGTTTGGAACTCTCCTGTGAAATGCTGGCGAATAAATTGTGTTTTGATTCGTCAAATTTTGTCGTCAGTCACTCCAAATCCCCGAACTCGTAGAAACGCATCAATATTGGTATCTTCGGGGGGAGGGGGATGACGTTTATTAGAAATCAACACGGAAAATGATTGGAAATAATTGTAATATTAATGATTCAATTAGACATATTATTTGGCAATTTATGTTTTGTGTTTTTCTAAAGGTAAGGTAATTGTATTTTATGCGATTTCTAGTTATCGTAGGTTTGTTATCTAAAACATAAACTTCAAATAAATGTAAAATATTTTTACAGTTTGTATTTTGATTGAATAACACAGCAGAACAGTTACCTGGAGCTTAATTTATCTATCTGAATCATTTGTTCAGTAAACAAACTATGATTGTACAGAAAACTGCATTATCAACATGATTAACTTCTGTTTGAATGCCGATAATGTGACCACATAAAAATATTTGGCACACGGAGTATAATGAAGGAGGTGAAACTGCCTAGTAGTAGAAAAACGGGTCCTAAAATGTCGCGTTCACTAGATGGCGCTGCTGTTCCATCTTAGCAGTTCCAAATGTAAACACTTATTGAGTAACCAGGCTGCTAAGCTTACTAGCGGATGAAAAAATGTTTATGTTTTTAATGCGATGGATTGCGTTATTATCAATGCGATGGATTGCGATTATCAATGCGATATAATGCGATTTATTGCGTTATTATACGTTATAATATTCTACTCACTAATGATTGTATTTTATTCCTCAAATTATGAAATTAATTTACAGCCTTCATGCTGTAAGGCTTGTAGTACTTTTTATGAATGATTAATTTAAAGATATTTTTCAGTTCCTCCTCCTTAGAAAAATAATCATATTACTAGTAATAATACCTGCTGTATATATGTTAAATTTAATTAGAATAGTTTCTTTGCGTCTCTCATTTTTGTAAAATGCTTAGATACACAGCTTGATATAAAGTATGGCGAAAGTTTAATGAAGCTTATAGAATTTTTTTGGTTCAGTCAGTAAATTTTCTTTACTATCATAATAAGCTATTCTTTTTTATGAATCAGATGTCAGTTTAGATTTTGATGTTTTTATCTTTTTCTGTTAAAAATTTCCATATCTTTCTTATTTGAGAAGTATGTTTCAAATTGATTTCAAAAGATTTTAAAATAGATTTCGGGTTTGAATTCAGTTAAGTATTCTGAACACTTGGTTCATAACTTATTTAATATGCTGAATTTATCTCACAAAAAATCCATTTTTCATCACACTTATCTGCTGTTGTTTTTGCTCAATCATGCAGCATTGTCTTCTTTTTCCATTTATTATAAAAACCTATTTCAAAATGAATAGGAGCAGTTTATAATATTTACAAACTTAGTATATTATTAGTATAAACTTATATATTATCAGTATAAAACTTATATATTTATTTAGTATAAAGTTATATATTTCAAAGAGCAGTATTTAATAGGAGCAGTTTGTAAATGAAATAGAAGAGCAAATACTCTATCATTCTTGTATAATTTCAGAAATTTATTTATCTTTAAAATCTAACGATTGCATGCTTTCATGGACAAAATGCAGATGCACATAAGTTATGTGCAATATTTAACTAATTTCTTATTTATTAATTTTTTTATAAGCATACAGTACATATTCTCTTATTTACTAACAATCCAGACGTTCTGAAAAGTTATATAAATTCGTATATATGATCAGGCATAATATAAATGTTGCTCACCTTTGGAACTCTAAATATATCTGGTTTCTTGATTCCTAAGCTTTTATTCTTCAGTCTAACAGTTCCATAACCACTGTTGCATCCAGGGACGAAACAGTTTCCATTATTTGACTTTTTCATAATGAAGAATTGATATCAAATCAGTATTTTTGCTATTACTGTCAATGCAAAATACTACGAAAAGACAGAAAGCTAGTGATTGCAGCGCCCTCTATAAATAATGCGACAGTAAGTGGACCATTTTTATGAAAAGTGGTAATACCAGTTTCCCCTTCTTTATACTCCGTGATTTGGAAGTATCTTAAGCCTAACTCTCTCAAAAAAAGGGGCCAAAAAGTGCTTAATTTTAATAGGAGCAGTTTGCAATATGACCATCTTAATTCATAAATGAAGAACTCAGTATAAAACCGCTAACTTACATATCCAGGAAAAATGTCAGAGGGAAGGAAAGAGGACCAAAACTCATCTTCTTTTACGAACAAATCTTGCAGCAATCAACTTTTTAGAAATCTTTCTCATGTTGTTCGGTTAGTCTGGGTACATTCCGCACATCCACCCTTGGCTTTATGTATACATAAATGTGCAACTTTATAGCTAATTGAAGTTAAATTTCTGCAAAATATGTGCAACTTTATAGCTAATTGATGGAAAGAAGGGAACGACAACAGAATTTTTATAATCTCCTAAAATAAGAGTGTGGCTTTTAGTGTGTTGAGATGAGAATTTTTTAACTGCTTGATTAATAATAAAATAAGTGCCCTCGTAATCGGCAAAAAAATTAAACTCCATGGCAAATGATTGTGGCTACCATAGCATTTTACGCTTCGATTCAATCGCAGTAGTAGTTGCTAATCCAAGCATCTGCTGCTAATAAAAGTTTTTCCGGTAGGCAGATAAGAGATTCAGTACAATGTGTCAGCTAGGAACTGCAGGAAACTTGAAATGGAGAGAACCAAAAATCCTTGAAGCCTTTGATATCACAGAAAAGAGGCAATGGTATAAGAATACAAATGAAGTGCAATACAATTTAGATACGAAAAGAAGATATGAAATATGCACAATATATACAGCGTGTTGGAAAATTCCGGGAACACTTTTAAAAAATTATTGTAGCAAAATGAGTAGCGCTAGAAAGAAAGGAACTACACATTTCAAAGAGTAAAATTGTAAATTTTTTTCTCGTTACAAGTGTGATGTGTAATTCCATGTATCGTCGCTAGGTGATACCAAAACCAAGATGGCGCTTTCTGGAGTAGAGGAGGCTTTTTGCATGCTAGAATTTGACAAAACAAAGAGTGCAACGGATGTCCAACGAAAATTTAGGAAGAAGTATGGGAAAGCAGTGCCAACTAGAAAGGCAATCTGCAGTTGGTAGTTCATTGAAAGTGGGTGCTTGTGTGCCAAGAAGAGATGTAGTCGGCAATGCAAGGTGTAATGTAAATGACATATGCATTTTGATACAAAGCGGAAGTTTTCTGAAATGATGTTTTTTTTATCCATACTTCGATTCTACGTCTCAAGTTATGTCAAAATGCTAAGTTTTGTAAAAATTGCACAGAGTTTTTTTAAATTGCCACTCAAAACTTTAGCTCATTACTGGTAATTGAATTTAGTGAATATTTAATAAGATATCTTTTTAAATTAAACTTGTGTACTTCTTTTTTTTTTTTTTTTTAATTGCAAATGCTGTTTATTCCAAAGAAAATTCAGACTTTTTTTTTCTAATTTATTTAAAACTTTTTATACATTTTTCGAAAGAAATTTTTAGTTATAACCTATGAAAATTTGCGCCTAATCTTAAAGTAAAATGTAAAGTAAAACATTTTTTAAACATACTTCCCGGAAAGGAGAAAGGGATGTCCCGATAGTTGCATATAATGAGGACCTGGGATGGAGGTTCTTCGTCCGGTGTGTCTGTCTCGATAGTTGGGAGTTCATATGATTGTAATATGTAAACTTGTAACGGTAATCTATATATTATATCTAGTTTTTAACTGAAAATTTGGTATATGGTTAATATTTTTTTTTTTTTTCTTTTTTTAGACCCCTCTAAAGAAGTTTGGTAACAATGAGAGTCCCCCAATTCCTGAATAAGCCGTTTCTTTGGTTTATTGCTGCTTCGATATACTTCGCATACATGTATCCCGAGATCGGAGCCAAAGGAGGTAAAGTAATTTGTTATACGAAAAGAAATATTTGTGCAATACTTTCAGGTTCAGGTTAGAATGTTTAATCATGTTTATTTAAACGAGCGGTGTAACTATAAAATTTTAAAACTGAGTTCATTAAAACGAAACCATTCCATAACGAGTTTTATAATACTGACATTAGAGGTATCTAACTCAGAAGTCAAACAACAAAAATCAGCGTTAATTTACAAAATTTTCACAGGACTAGTTTCGATGGTTTTACCGAACCATCATCTTCAGCTGCAAAACCGCAAATGAACAAGATAGAAATAATGTTTAGATAAGATAAGAAAGCCTGGACAAGAATAAGCAAGTGGCGCCATCTGTTGGCGAAACCAGAACTAAAACATAATTTCTCTAAAAGCCGAAGGCAGATTTGGATTGGAATTAGGATCGTTTAACTAGAACAGAAAGATTTTTTATGAATGTGAAATGCCTCTAGAAAATCCAGTTCTCCAATGGAAGATGTTTTTTGAATAATTTTGGCAGCAAAAATTGAAAGTGTGATTTTCGGACCAACCAATGTTGAGCAACAGAAGACTTCTGTGTTTCCTTTTTTCTAACATATGCCTCATGTTTCTTTTGACGCGAAATTTTTAAGGCTCTCTTAGTTTGGCCAATGTAAATTAAACCGCACTGGCAAGGAATCCTATAAATACCCCAGGAATTCATATCTGGAATGGGGTCCTTGAGTATAGAAGTTGGAATTTTATTGATGGGAGAGTAAACAACCCGAAAGTTAAATTTCTGCAAAATATGTGCAACTTTATAGCTAATTGATGGAAAGAAGGGAATGACAACAGAATTTTTATAATCTCCTAAAATAAGAGTGTGGCTTTTAGTGTGTTGAGATGAGAATTTTTTAACTGCTTGATTAATAATGTTGTTGAGTGAAAAGCCCCTGTCAATAGCTATTGCTTTTAAATAATTTAGTTCTTCATCAAGGGCTAGTTTGGAGGAGCAAACTTGAAGAGCACGGAAAACATAGGAATAAAATGAAGCTAACTTTCGTTTAGTCGGATGACATGATTTAAAGTGTGGTGGAAGGCAAACCGATGAAGGTTTACGGTAAACTGTAGTACTGAAGTTGGATGTGTTACGTGTGACCAGAATGTCGAGAAACGGAAGAGAATTGCAAGTCTCAAGTTCAAAAGTCAAAGAACATGAGGCATATGTTAGAAAAAAGGAAACACAGAAGTCTTCTGTTGCTCAACATTGTTGGTCCGAAAATCACACTTTCAATTTTTCTGCTGCCAAAATTATTCAAAAAACATCTTCCATTGGAGAACTGGATTTTCTAGAGGCATTTCACATTCATAAAAATCTTTCTGTTCTAGTTAACGATCCTAATTCCAATCCAAATCTGCCTTCGGCTTTTAGAGAAATTATGTTTTAGTTCTGGTTTCGCCAACAGATGGCGCCACTTGCTTATTCTTGTCCAGGCTTTCTTATCTTATCTAAACATTATTTCCTATCTTGTTCATTTGCGGTTTTGCAGCTGAAGATGATGGTTCGGTAAAACCATCGAAACTAGTCCTGTGAAAATTTTGTAAATTAACGCTGATTTTTGTTGTTTGACTTCTGAATTAGTATTTATTCGGCGTGTTATTGTGTCTTAATTATAGAAGCCCCAAAACGGCTTACATTTTGCTTTCTTTTTTGCACGTGGTGTGGCCGCCATTTTGTGATTGTAGGAGTTTCGGTGAGTACATTTTTGCAATTTTCAAGTTATGTTTATGTTTTGTACATTTGGATATTGTGCTTTGCTTGTCTGATTTCATGCATTTTGCTTACAAACATTTTGTTTTCTATTCATTTCAGTGAGGGATTTTTCTGCTATTTTGTGTGTACTTTATTATTGCTCAGTTAATTTAGTTTGATTTTCTGCATTGTTTATCATGCCTTCATCCGTTAATCGTTTCACTAAATTACGCCTGAAACGGCAAAAATTCCTGAATCATCTTGACTTTTTACTTAAATGTAAATGTAAAAAATTGATCCCCAATTTTATTCAAATCAAATCTAATCAAAAACCTTCGAGTCGCGTTTCAAGAATTCTGTTAAATTGCAAACTTGCCTTACTTCGGTCCGTGATAAGGGATACACGTCAACAATTGTCCAAAATTGAACATGAACTCTATAAGCTTCATCTGGAACTCGCTAAAACATATCCAAAATTCACTGCCCTTGAACAAAAGTCTTGGTCTAGAACGGAGAATGCAGTTAAACCGTCATAAAAACACCCTTGCAGTTAAATTCGAAAAAACTTCTTTTACAGTCTTCCAGTTCAAGTAGTTCAAAAAATCTTCCCATTGTAAACATCAAGCCAATAGTTAATATTTCTAATGTTAGTCTTTCAGAAAGAACAAGAGAGAATTCTAAAATATAATTTTAACTTCTCACAAACCTGTAAACCCTCGATTCCAAAGATTTTGGCTCCTATCGAAAAAGCTTTCAAGTTCAGTAAAGTTTCAGATTCACAGAAAGAAATGATTAGGCATCTTATCGCTCATAATGTGAAATTCAATAATAAACCTTTGAAACCAAATCTAACTGCGAGAGAAAGAGCTACAATGCGCGAAGATTCATTCTAACCCGGATATTGTCATTTCAAAGGCCGACAAAGGTGGCCAGATAGTCGTCATGGATAAGAACACTTACATCGATGGTGTCACTAAACTCTTAAACGAAGGACCATATAATCCGATCCCTAAAGATCCTTCACCTTCGGACTTATCCAAAATAAAAACTGCGATCAAATCTTCGCAAATCATTTCAAGCAACTTAAAACATTCGCTTATCCCATCTGTTGCGAATTGTGCCAGATTATATGCTCTTCCCAAAATTCATAAAAGTGGTATTCCTTTCCGCCCTATTGTATCAAATTTAGGTACTACTGCCTCGTATCCATTAGCTAAATATTTAGTTTCTAGATTTTTTCCACTCTATTAGACAATAACATTTACACCATAAAAAATTCAATAGAGTTTGTAAAAAAGGTTAAAAACATTTCTCCTCGTAATTTACTCATGGTTTCTTTTGATGTAAAATCATTATTCACCAATGTCCCAGTGGAGGGTGCATTAAGATGTCTAGAAACCAGACTTCGCGAATTTCATTTCTCTTGCATCGAAATTGATGAGCTAATTTCTCTCACTCAACTCTGTTTGAAACAAACACATTTTGTTTTCCAAAATAAATATTACAAGCAAACTGAGGGATTAGCCATGGGAAGCCCCCTCAGTCCCATCCTGGCTGATATCTACATGCATTATTATGAATCAAAATTGTTTGAAACTTTAAACTTCCCGGCATGGTTCCGCTACGTAGACGATACTTTTACCCTGTTTGAAGGTAATAAAGATGATTTAAATAGAGTTCTTTCAACAATGAATTCTATTGATCCTGCTATTCTATTCAGTTCACTTTTGAACTTGAGACTTGCAATTCTCTTCCGTTTCTCGACATTCTGGTCACACGTAACACATCCAACTTCAGTACTACAGTTTACCGTAAACCTTCATCGGTTTGCCTTCCACCACACTTTAAATCATGTCATCCGACTAAACAAAAGTTAGCTTCATTTTATTCCTATGTTTTCCGTGCTCTTCAAGTTTGCTCCTCCAAACTAGCCCTTGATGAAGAACTAAATTATTTAAAAGCAATAGCTATTGACAGGGGCTTTTCACCCAACATTATTAATCAAGCAGTTAAAAAATTCTCATCTCAACACACTAAAAGCCACACTCTTATTTTAGGAGATTATAAAAATTCTGTTGTCATTCCCTTCTTTCCATCAATTAGCTATAAAGTTGCACATATTTTGCAGAAATTTAACTTTCGGGTTGTTTTTACTCTCCCATCAATAAAATTCCAACTTCTATACTCAAGGACCCCATTCCGGATATGAATTCCTGGGGTATTTATAGGATTCCTTGCCAGTGTGGTTTAATTTACATTGGCCAAACTAAGAGAGCCTTAAAATTTCGCGTCAAAGAACATGAGGCATATGTTAGAAAAAAGGAAACACAGAAGTCTTCTGTTGCTCAACATTGTTGGTCCGAAAATCACACTTTCAATTTTTCTGCTGCCAAAATTATTCAAAAAACATCTTCCATTGGAGAACTGGATTTTCTAGAGGCATTTCACATTCATAAAAATCTTTCTGTTCTAGTTAACGATCCTAATTCCAATCCAAATTTGCCTTCGGCTTTTAGAGAAATTATGTTTTAGTTCTGGTTTCGCCAACAGATGGCGCCACTTGCTTATTCTTGTCCAGGCTTTCTTATCTTATCTAAACATTATTTCCTATCTTGTTCATTTGCGGTTTTGCAGCTGAAGATGATGGTTCGGTAAAACCATCGAAACTAGTCCTGTGAAAATTTTGTAAATTAACGCTGATTTTTGTTGTTTGACTTCTGAATTAGTATTTATTCGGCGTGTTATTGTGTCTTAATTAGAGGTATCTTTTAATTACAGTAACAATGAGAATGCTCTTAAAATTATCAGATGGATATATTGTAAATTAGTTCCTTCTCTGTTGATTTTGCGCAATATTTAATAAGAAACAAATTATAAAAAATGTCTGTTGCTATATTTGATATGAATTTCCTATAAGTTGTTAAATTATAGCTCAGTTAAGTTCGAAAAACGTATTTATGTTTTAGTGCAACCATTTTAACTCTTTCCTATCGGTAGAGGCAAAAATATATTCCTCTGAAATATCTGAAACGCTCGTGTATAGGAATTATTGAGGAAGGTATTCCTTTTCCTCGTAACAAGTAGAATGGTACAACATTAACAATAACCTGCTTATGCAGGTTATTGTTAATGCTGCTCAAAGTAAAGCGATTACTTCTCTCTTGGGGATATTTGTGTGGTTTCACCCACTGTATGCAGTTTCCCCTTAGGACAGGAGGGAAGGTGCATTCAAATAACATCGCTACGTTTAGTCGCTTGAAACAATGAATGGTATGTCATTTAACAACTCCCGAAACCAATGAGCCATACACTATGTGATGGGGGAAAGCACCGAGTGGAAAATGGGCGCAGGCGTTCGGGTGGAATGGCGATGTCTGAATGCTCGCCCGTCTTACAATTTTGATCAAATGATATCTGATGAAAGATATCTCATATTTTTTGTGTCTTTTTATTATTAACTTCTTATGTGTTACAATTTTATTATTAAATATCACATTTTCCGCCCGTAAGCCACATAAAATTCAATTCAACAGGAAAATCACAAATATTTAAAAACAGTATATCTTTAGAATTCCCGGTATAGTGTTAGAGGTTGCCATACAGATTTTTAAATTGCTAATTAAAAATGAAAGATAACTATCTTACATTTTGCTTAATGGCAACAGTCTGGCTTAAATGTTTTATTTCGAACAGTGCTACCATTGCTCGCTTTCAGATCATTGATTTTGTGAATAAGAAATTTATTAAAATTTTACAAAATATGAAATAAAAAATAGTAAAACAAGTTCGAAGTTGAAAATTCGAACTTCCAGGTGCAAGTTTTCGCATGGAGGAGTACGTTAGGTAATCACGTACTATCTCAATCACCCTCTCTCAACGTTAGGTAATTACGTAGTATTTTAACCACCTTGGCTCAGTTTGGCGATTTTTTACAGATGAAAAGATAAAAGTTACTTATCACGTGCAAGTTGGTGGTTTTCGCGCATTTTTTTTAGAAGGTTCGCAGACTATCGATATTTATCGTAAATTGGCGAACATTAGCAATATATTAAAAGAAAACATAATTCAGTAATATAAAATACAGATTTGAATACTCGAATGCATTTGAATGATTTTTTTTGCGTGACATCCTTATGTATGGACGGAAAAGGGCTTTTTTTTCCAAAACGGATTGTATAATGGGTTTAAAATGGATTCAGAAGTCGTCTGTCTGTCTATGTATCTCGCATGACTCAAAAACGAGTAGCCTCAATACGTTGAAACTTTGTATATGGGACTACTGTAACATGTAGTTGTGCACCTCTCTTTTTGGTTGGAATCGGGCGTACCAAATATATATTTATATAACTCTGTTACCCTGCTCGGTGAGCTCAGATTTTTTTATTCTTATATATTCGTAAATGGTGCAATTTTTTTTTGTTTAAAAAGCGATTGAATTATGTTGTTCTTATGTTTAAGGTTTTTGTGCCTTTAGTTGATCTGCATGCAATATTTGTAGAATTACCAACAATTAAAATTTTTTTTAAGTGTAAGTTTTTTTAAGCCATTTGTTTACATTTGAAGCTCTTAGTAATATAGTGAATTTAGTCAGTTTCTGCGCCAAACTCAGTATCTTTTTAGAGTGTATTGTAGAGTGGTATTAGCATGCTCTTTCTCCCCAGTGGAACCGAAAGTTATCTTTTAATTTTGTGCACCGAAAATTTGGTCTTCCTGCCTGTTGACCGAATTCCTTGTTTTTTTTGTAAAAACTCCAATTTTAATTGTAAATTTCTTTTTAAAATTGTGTTTGATGTTTTAGGTTTTCCTATATTTTACAATTTTAAATGAAGATGTTTTGAGCTTTTATGTTTTTTTACTTTGCCACGAAATGGAACTGAATATATTGAATGAGAACTATATTTCTGAATGAGAAATATATCTCTAATGAAATTCGAGGAAACAAGTTTAAATGAAGTGCACCAAAAATGTGTATATAATTTAACAAGAAAGTTATATGGTATCCACATCAGATATTTTCATTAGCTTATTCAAAAATGTTTCTTAACAGAATTCTATTAAAATTTATTGCTTGCTCACGAGCTCACACTGCCTCACATGCGTTTATGCACATACAGAAAAAGAAGAGTTCAAATTACAATGCGCATGCAATAAATAATATATACATTTTGTAATTGAAATCTTTGGAATTTTAAAATAGTAGAATGATATTAGCATGTTCTGGATGACGAATGATCTTAAAATACTTGATACCAGTAGCTGATCGTTTGAAAAATCAGCAATCTGGAACTTTTTTCGAGTGGGAGAGAATAGATGTGTGCATTTCTACCGTCGGTAAATATGACCAAGAAATTATCCTAAGCAACTGATTATCTTTAAAAAAATCTACTAATTTTTGTACGGAACTTGAATAAGTTCATAGTTAAACAGTATAAACTCTTAGAATCTAAACTACTTATGTGATAAGTTTATTTGGTACTTTGCTGTTAAAGCAACCACCGCCATAGTCACCAAAACGGGCAAACTTGTTGCCAGCCCTTTAACGTACAAATTTCAAACTTTGCCAAAGGCTAATGTGGTGGCTACTTAACTTTAATATCACTTACTTTTAGGTAATAAGTAGGTAAGCGTGGAAATACAATTTCATAATTCTCTGTATTAATGCTTTTTCTATGCAATATTCATTTAACGCTGGGACATTTTTTTAAAATTAAGTTTTAAAACATTTAAAGTTTAGGCGTAAAAGTAAATAAAAGACATTTTTATATGAAAGTAAAAATAAATTAAAAAAATAAAAGAATATACAATAGAAAATGATAATTGATATTTGACAATGTAGTATTAATTTCATGCTTTATTTAATTTTATCTTCCTTTCACCCATGTTTTGATTACCAGAATTTAAAATGAAATGTTAAAAATGGGTGGAATTAGCTGATATTTTTTATATTTTAAGCACTTCATTTGCTAGAATTGCATTTGGTTAGCTTAAATATATGCATTCTGAATAAAAAATATCACATTGTAGACATTTAAAAGTTGGTAATAGTATTTTCAGCATTTTTTTTTTTACTTATTAAGTGCTCCGCCCTTAGGTACTACACGGAAAGGGAGGGATGCCCCGTGGAGGTCTTTTTAAGGAAAACTGGCTCGTAGCCACGTTACACATGGGGAAAAGCACGAAAACGCCCATGCAGCCAACCCGTTCGCCGGGACTCGAACCCCGGAACGAACTACCAGTGTTCAACGGCTTTTATCGCTCGGCTGCTGGTGGGCCGTATTTTCAGCATTGACATTAGAAACATTTTTAGCGCTGCCCAACCGGTATAGTGGTACTGCCAACTGGTATAGTATAACCGAAAAACCGGATTAGAATCCCGGAGAAGGCATTGATATTTGTAAATGTATAGTGTCCGTGCGGCATGGGGGCACTCTAAATATGCGGCGAGCCGAAAGTCCTTTTGAGAGGTTGATGGTAGGGGGACCGGGGTGGGAGACCTTCGTACCCGTCTCCCTGGGGTGCTCTCCATCAAAATTGGGGGCGGAACTGTGCTAAATCGCACTGTCACCTGTATGATGCTCAAGCTGTTGCCAACGACAGTCGTATCTTGTGCTCCTGGCCATGAGGAATTTCGTCGGCTTGAGCTGACTATAGGTCAGACAAGTGAGCATTAGTCAACAGCATAACATCTTTAGTGGAAGCTTCAATTTTCGTTAAATAACGTTACATTGCATTCCATTTATCATTCACACACATAGTGTGTTGCTCTTGCACGGGATATGTGATCTGTAATTTATTTCAAACGCAGCAAATCACCCATTTCAAGAACGTTTCCATTATACGCAGAGTAAGGCCTCTAGTTCATCTTTCGAAGTGTTTTTATAAACCATGTGGTCTGAGGGGAAAACGCGGGCTTCTTAATAATTTGCATCTTTAGTCCTTTAATAATATGTGTGACAGATATGATATAAAATATGCTTAATTTATGATATACTCCGGTTGATTGCCCCGATAATTTACTGTGTTAATTTAATAAAATTGTTTAACGCCATGTTTCTTTCCTTGGTTTAGCATTGTTTTATATATTTATTTATTTATTATAGTTCAGTATTACACATTCTTGAGTCGTTGCATTCATTTGAGAAATGTTATTTCATTTTGGGGTCATTCTATTAATCTTCAATTTAGGTTTCCTGAAACCAGAAATAACCGTGAAATATGTTGCTGTTGTAGTTATATTTTTCTTGAGTGGTGTATCTCTCAAGTCCACGGTAAGAATCTTAACCTTTTTGTTTCATTTAATATTTTAGTGTGTTTTAAATACACTGCTGTTCATTGAAATGCCAACACCATGAAAAAGACTTTGGATTAGTTACACAGAGGCTATTCGCATAATTTTTAGACGATTTTCATTTTATTTAAAGACATATTTTACCTAAAACGCGTGTGTTGTAAATATTGCATTTGATAATTGTGATTCTTCAGTCTTTCTAGGCTGTAATTTCCGAGACAAACCTTTCTTAGTATCGGAAGAGGTTGTACTTTATACCAGGGGTTCTTAACCGGTGGTACGCAAGAAAAAAATAGGTGGTACGCAAAGGAGCAAAGTATTTTTAACTATTCAATTCAAAAATTAAAACCCCCAACATCCTGACTGAGTTTCTTTCTGTAACATTCGTAAATTTATGCGATCGGAGCTTTGTTCAAGAATGGTGGTGGTAGTAGTACTTTGTAGTGGTGGGTTACTAAAGCTTTTTCAAGTTTTGTTTAGATGGTACGCGTTAGTCAAAAGGTTGAGAACCGCTGTTTTAAACCATTCCTCTTGAGTCCAAGATGTTGTAGGTCGACATTTGGATATCCGAAATCGTCGGCAAAAATCCATCGGCGATACGTTAGCAGATTTTAGTAGGGATATGAATGAAGAGTATGGTTTCTATACCCATTTCTTATTCCATTTTTTCCAGGAAATTAACTGTGGATTTGGACGTGTGGATGCTTACTTCGTTTTGATGCAGTTCTGTTGATTGATGGCGTCATGGGTAGAAAGAATGTATTTCATATTAAAAAATTGCGTGTAAAATGTATTCCTGATAATACGTGGAGTTGATCTTGACAGTTTTCTCCTTTCTCTTTATTATTAACTTGCCGTCATATGAAAAATAAACAACAATCATCAATTTCTTTGATTAGATTCCCCCTTCTTTATATTCTTTGAACCAAATTTTAAGACTTTTTCCCACTTTGATGACAATAAATGGATCTCTTTTTATTGCAGTCGTTTAAATGCACCGAAGATTTATCTATTGTGACACATTTTTCCAGTTTCGTCCGGTTAAATGTTTCTGTTAAAGACTTCTGCAGCGCGTTCGGTGATATGTCGTGGAGAGAGACGATGCACATTATGAATTTTCGCTTTTTGAAGATTGAAATCAGCATTCATCACTTTGTTTACAGTTGACACGAGCATTTCAATGATTTTGCAACTGTCCTTTGACTTAGTGGATTTTCTTTTAACATTAAAAACCTTACCTTTGCAACATTCGAAACATTCCATTTTTTCTTGGACACGTACTTGAAACAAATTTTCCACCTTGAAACCAAACTCTGGCGTTTTTTTTCTTTGTTGTGGGCAATATCACCATTTGTAGTTTTAGATATGGAAAACCCACGGCTTTCACATTGTTTTTTAATAATTAGATACGGATAACTTTCTTCGGAAAGAGTACAAACATAGCCTTCCATCCATTTCTTCTTTAAAAGCTCCATTTTGCATTAAAACAAAACTGTCAAGTAACAGACAAAATTTATATTTCCAAAAATATAGCTGCAATTAAAGCAAAACTTTCCAAGAAGAGAATTTTTTTTTAATATCGAAGCAAAATGGTCTAAAAAATTTGCGAATAGCTTCTGGATGTGTTTGAGATAGATATTTTATCATGCAAGACACAAACGACTGCTATATCACCGCATACTTAAAAGCAAAGTAGACAGAAATCCTGGGTTGGGCGAGGCAGTGTACTCATTAAGTGTAGTATTCCACTCGACGATGTGTTCCGGATTCTGTATGCACTACTAGATATTTTAGTCTTTATTGGTAGGAATTTCGCCGCATGTGCCCAAAAACTGAGACATCCATGATAAGAAAAGCACTTTATGAGCAAGTAACGCGCATGTAGTTGCGAATAACGCGTATGTAACGCGCATCGTCTATATTAAGTTTGGCCAAAATACCACCCGAGATCTGTCCCCAAAAGTACTTTTTCGGCCACTTGATAATTCAGCAGGTTCTCAGGTTTTTTAAACTGTTATCGTAGAGCAATAAAATCTCCAAAACGAGACCTCTAAGTATTGCTGCAGAATGTTAGTATTAATGTAATGTAAATGCATAATATTTGATTTTATGTCTATTTCTCACGAATTCGTTTTTATTAAATTTTGTTATGGAACATGTTGCAGATTGTGATCCACGAGTCCCGTGCACAATTTTTAAAAGGCCTCTCACGCAAGAAGATTGGCCTCCTTGTGTAGGTAATTAACTAAAAATCTTGTGAAATCTTTCAGAACTTCCATTTGGTGGTCAAATGAGTACAGACTGTTCACATCGTGGCATATATCGATAGCTCGACAAACGATACGTAGTCGACTGAAACGTGAGCATATTCACTCTCGAAGAAAATAAAACGTTTAAATGAAATTCGTATGCATATACCACATCCTGTGTATCATGTGTGTACCACATACGTACCATACATATACCAAATATGTATATGTACCATAATGCATTCTTGGTATTTTCAGAAACTTTATTATATTTCTTAGGAGGGATGACTTAATAAGCGGGAATTGCATAGCTAAAAAAATTCGTGTGCACATTTAGAGGTTTATTTCGGAATATTAAATATCAGCCTTTGTAATGCGACAGAAGTCCTTACGCTGGAACTACATCGTGAGATTCCGCTGTATTCATTTATTTGTTTTGTATCTGTCTTTTTTAGTCATTTGAAAACGAGACGTCGAATAAATAACCAGATCTTGACAAACAGTTTCATATGCTTTCTGTTATTTAGGAGCTGAAGACTGCAACGTACCAGTTCCAAATCCACCTTTTCATTCAGCTGTATTCAATGCTCTTCATTCCTCTAATTGTTCAGATCTTTGCAGAACTTCTTGAGCAATTTTTTCCGAACCCTCACCTGTTGGTGGGATTCGTTATTGTCAGTTGCATGCCTCCACCAGTTTCATCTGCTGTACTGTTGACCAAAACTGCAGGGGGAAACGAAGTAAGTCATCTTCCGTTGCTTGCATTAATTAACAGTTTTGTTTTGTCAAGTCAATTTTTATGTGTTGTTAGAGAAATTGAATGTGAAAATTCTCTATCACCTTTCATTTTATAGTAAAACCTCTGTCACACTGGTGTATTGCTAACGAATATTGAAAATTAAATGTGCTCAGTTACTCGTAATTGCCTGTATTCATACCACGAATCAATGTGCAATTATGAATCATGATTTTATTTATAATGGTACGTACTTACATCTAATGTATGAATTAGTGAGATGGAATATAGTTAAAAATTCTTGGAATTTCCCTATAACAACCCCTCTAAAAAAGAACTTCTTTTCGGGAGTTCGGCTCCCGTTATGAAAGTGAAACAACCAAAAATTGCATCGATGAAATCCATGGAAGTGACACGAGATTCCATCCATAATTCATCGATGAATGTGACACAACCGAACATTTTTTAATTCTTTGTGGCCGGTAAACATGAAAAGTTTAGCACATAAAAAAGATTGGTCAGGGGGAAAAATCCAAGTAGGGGAAAAACTTCTCCCTTTTCCCCCTTAAATATGATGTAAGCCGCACGTACAGCTTCGGAAATATTCTTTACGTATGTAGTCATTAGATTATATCGATGTTGGAGGCATGAAAAATGTGCAGTGCCCTCTTCGGTATTCGAACGCCCGAATACGCGTTCGAGTATGCCTGCAGAAAGGGAGTAGAAAATACTTTATAAGTAATATTAGAAGAAACACCCCGGTTCCCTCTTCCCCTGCAACATTTTGAATATTCCTGCATAACCACCCACTTCAAACAAGAAACTGCTGCCACGTCCGCGCATAACATTAGGCTCAATAAGAAACCTTGTTAAGGCCATGAAGAAGGCTGGAAAAAAGTTTGCATACTCAGATAGCAGTTTCCAAGCTTTTGCGACGGAAAAGATGGAATATTCATTTGTCTCCACCTCAGTGAATTTTACAGAATAAAAGCTATTATAAGTAGTATTAGGGACGTAGAAAGCCTTTAAGGAAATGGTGTAGAGATTTCTGGGAAATAATATAGCATAAAATTACACTCAATTGATTTAAGTTGACTCCTTGACAGTTATCGCTCATTGGATGCAAAATATCTCTCAAAATTCACTTTTCTTCTTTTTCTGTCTATATTTTCCTATCGAAAGTTAAGATCTATGAACTGTCTAAACTTATCTTTACATGGATGAAATCAAGCAATGCGGGTTTCAGGGCATTTACATCTCTAGGAGGAGGATGTCTTTATGCAATTGCTTTTCGAAGGTAGTCTCGTAAGTTCTGTATCGAGTTAAGATCAGGAGATTTTGCTGGCCTCGGTATTCCCTCAATATCTCCACTTTCAAGGAATTCGTCAGCGAGGTTTGCTGGATGTTGACGAGCATTATCGTTCTTAAACAAAAAGACAGATCCATATGCACATCTGGAAAATTGAACATAAGATTCTAAGAGACCATCTCGATATTTCTGACACGACACAGATACCGTATTGAAAAAGTGTAGGGGCATATGTCCATAGATCATTATTCCATCCCACAACATCACACCTGCATTATCGAAACGATCACGTTCTATAATGTTCGAAGGAAGATGCTCGTGTTCCTTTCTTCCTCCAGATATAAACACGTTTAGAAACAGATGTAAAATTAACATCGACTTTTCAGTAAGAACATGGTACCATTGTGTTCACCCCAGTTCTGATGTTCTTTGCACCAATTAAAGCGAGCCCTCTTTTGCTATGAAGACAGTTGAACACATAACCCTAGGTTTTTCTGGCATGAAGATCGTTTTCATTAAGCCTTCTGTATACAACAATTCCATTGGCGATTACAAGCTCTGAACTTAACCGCCCGAGTAGTAGACTTTTGTTACGATGAGCAGTTATATTACCAAATGTCGATTTTGGGAAGCAGTTGTTATTCGTTTACGACTTTGTCCAGGCCTCCTTCTGGTTCCATAGTTCTGAAATTACTTCCATAGCGACTGTTCATAGCATAGAGACTATTTGTCTTGAAAATATTCGCAAATCGTACTGCTTTGAGGATTTTTTGTCCTATTTCTGAACGGCCGATGAGTTTCCACTTCACGAATTCTTCTAAATGATACCCAGCAGTCATAACATTGCAGAAATTCCGAATTTTTTTTTCAGTTGAATGATACTCACTTTGAGCAAAGCGCTTGATTCACCATATAAGGTATTTTCTCTCTCCTTTCTGCATGGCTTCGTGGTGTAACTGTAGCATACTCGGAGCGTATTCGAGAATCCGTGAAGGCATTGCTCATTTTTCATGTTTCCTAATTAAAAAAAAAAGAATGACTCTACGGTGGCGCCCGAACTAAAAAAAAGTTGGTGGATAATGATGCTTCACCATCGGGATTTGGCGACTAGGTCCCCTATTCCTCAGTAGCCCTTTAAAAGGGGGAGTATGTAAGGTATTTTCTCCTTTCTTTCTGCATGCCTTCGTGGTGTTCACTCGGCGCGTATTCGAGAGGTCCAGGTTCGAGCGCCGTCAAAGGCATTGCTCATTTTTTATGTTTCCTACTTCAAAAACTTATTGACTGTACAACCATCAGATAACATAACGCTTTGATTGGCGTATGAGAACTGTTTTATCAGTTTTGATTGGATGATGCTAATTAGGCTTGTCTTTGATACATTCCATGTAAAAATGGATTACATGGATTGGAGATTTCATGTAATATTATTATTTTTGAATTTGTGAAGGTAAATTTTAGACATAAGTGTATAAATAATAACCTCGCTGAGATTATAAGAAACTTAATTTCGCTTGGCTAGAGCGATTCGGATAAAGAGAATTTCGGATAGTTCGAGTTTTACAGTATGTGTTTGGATTCAATATTTGAGAAGCGGTTAATCGCTTTATCCGAATATGTTACGTATTTGATGCGAAAGAGACAGAATAATAGCTTCTTCATTTTTTAGTTGATTAAACGTTGAATAATAATGCAAATTTAATTTCAAGATCAGGGTATAATTTCTTTCTTTTATCTTTTTTTTCAGGCAGCTGCTGTTTTCAACTCTGCTCTAGGAAGCTTTTTGGTTTGCATAAAATGTTACTGCTTAAAGTTTTAATACCAATCTGTAATTGTTTTTATTTAAATTATACTAATTTCTGTATTTTCTTTTTTTCAGGGCATTTTCATAACTCCAGCCCTTTTATATGTATTTGTAAGTTTTATATAAATAATAAGTTTTATGACAGTCTCATTAATTTTTTCATTCTTGTTAGGATAGAAATATAATATATTCTTTTTCTTATTGTATTATACCTTTTCAGGAACATTTATTTAAAAAAAATAAATAAAAGTTAACTTTAAAATTGACCCTAATGATATGTTTTTCATTTTAATTATAATTGATGATTTAAATGAATTATAATACATGAGTTATAAGGAATTACAATATAATAATGAATATTTCCTTATAATTCATGTGTCTTGTAAATATACTTTATTTATTTGTTTATTTTGACAAATGGCCCTATTCAGTACGACCTTCTGTAAAATATTTCACATTTCCTTTGAACTTAGTTCTGTCAGGAACGAGAAAACATCGGATATTTTCCAAAATAAACACACTTTTGAAATAATGTCCGTAAAAAATATTTATTCTGATGATTAATACCGTAGTAGTGGAAAACAATATTCGTTTAAGAATGGAGGTTTGTGTTTGTCGATATAACAGCTGTTCGAAACAAAAACAGTGTCGTTTCATGCGTGCGAAAAAGAATTTTTACTTTAATTTAATTTTTAAAAGGTTTCTTAATTATTATTTTTGTCCATAGTATTATATTTTGTGTTCAGATGTTTTACATGAATTAATTATCCGTTTTAAAGTAGATCGATTCTTAAAGGAAAAAATAACCCTTTTACGTTTTAAATGAAATTTCGTTTTCATTACGGGGGGGACGGTAGTGGTGGGGAATTGAAATTAGTACAGTGGCGTTTTCTAACGATGATTTGTTAAAAGAAGATAATTATTTCCTTGTACGAAGTAAAGGAAGTATTGTAATCGCGAAAATTTTTGAGTGTCATATTTCAACGACAATGTCCATTTTGACCGCTATCGAATGCAATTTAATGATGTTTTTGCATGTCATCTGTACGTTAGGACAGAATAAAGGACTCTTTTTCTCAAAAAGGGTTGCAAAAAGGATTTAAAATGGATTCAGCAGAGTTTTTTTTTGTGACGTCTGTACGTACGTATGTACGTATGTGTCTCGCATAACTTAAAAACGAGTAGCCTCAGAACGTTGAAATTTTGTATATAGGACTGCGATAACATGTAGTAGTGCACCTCCCTTTTTGCTTGCAATCGGCCTCACCAAAAGTATATATATATATATACACTATATATACCCGCTCTTACACGGCTCTGTGAGCAGTTTTTTTTTTTATTCTTATGTGTTGGTAAATTATGCATTTTTTGCTTTAAACATGATTGAATTATGCCGTTCTAATCTTCCGGTTAAGGTTTTTATGCCTTAGTTAATCTGCATGCAATAGTTGTAGAATTATCAACTATTTAAAAGTGGTTTAAGTGCGGCTAAGACTTTTTTTTTTTTTTTTTAACTGTTGCAGCCATATTTATTTACATTTCAAACTTAGCAGAATAGTGAATTAAGTCACTTTCTGTACCTTTAGTGTCTTTTTGCCGAGTGGGATTTGGATTATTCAATTATGGTAAAGCACACGAGGGCTATCTGCCTAAAGGGAGGGACGCCTTTGTGGAGGACGTTCTAAGGGAAACTGGCTCGTATACACGTTACACTTGGGAAAACCACGAAAACGCCCATGCAGCCAGCCCGTTCACGGGATTCGAACCTCAGACCGAACTACCAGTGTTCAGCGTCTTTACCGCTCGGCCGATGGTGAGCTTTTTACCGAGTGTGACCAACAGTAAACTTTTAGTTTTGTGCACTTAAAAATCTGCCTTCTTGCTGGCCAAATTGCTTGTTTTTGCTTAGAAAATCTAATTTGAGTTGTCAAAATTTTTTTTTTTTAATTGTTTTAACTGTATTTGGTGTTTTATATTTTTCTATATTTTTTAATTTTTAATAATGATATTTTGAATGTTTTATGTAATTTTGCCTTGTCACGAAGTGAGAACTGAAATAATTGAATGAGAAATCTGTCTGTAATGAAGTTCGAAGAAATAAGTTTAAATGAAATGCAGGGAATAAAGTTCATAATTTAATATTCCGTTCAAGGAAGTCATGTGGTGTACACATCAGATTTTTTTTTTCTTCGTTCTTCAGATGGGTGATAAAATTTATATGGCTTACAATAATCTTCACCTATCCTGTGCTAGATGGAATTGTGTTAGAACCTGTGTTAGAACTTAAATTTAACGTTCTTTGAAAGGTATTTCCTAATATTTAGAAATGTACTTATTTATTCATTCTTTGCCTGACGTTGCATATAAGACGTTATATAGCGTGCATTTTTACTAGACGTTTTATATTTTAAATAATTTATGTCCAGTTTCAGATAACAATATATTTTTAAATATTTTGTCGCCTTAAATTGCGCATTACAGAAGAAATTTATTCTCTGAACTTTCCCCAGTCAAATTTAGATATTTTAAAGATAAGTCGATTCCCTTTCTTTTCATCCGATGGCGCTACTTCAAAAACGGTAATTTTTTATTGCACATAATGTTCACTTTGAACTATAAACAACTTAAGGAGAATATTGCGCATTGCCCTTTAAAACAAGAAGATGAGTTTAAAAGCTTATAAACTAAAATTGGCAGATTATTAATCTATGGATCCCAAATTATTAAACTCTAGGATAGCATCCCATTACTCAGAATTTGTAGAAATGATTGTTTTATATCAAAACACTTGGTACCTGAGTCATAATTTCATCTGAGAAGTTTCACTAAATTGTTAGGTGTTTTGAGTTTCCAAAGCCCCTGAAATTTAGAACACGTGGAGGAGTTTTCGATCAACAGTATAATCTTGTACTTATGTGGATGATGTGACACATTTCTGCAAAGCTCTTGGCTTTTGTAAGCTTCGAAATATCTTTAACAGGACATCATGCAGTGATAATTACATATAGGTAGTTACAAGACTAATGGAACAAACTTCAAGGGGTGATATAATGCAACGAAACAAATATATTTCACCATAGAATTGCATAGCCACATGTTAAGTGCCTTATGTCTACCATTGCAAAAAACGGCATGTCTGGGAATCTAATTGTATTCAAATCAGCGCCTAACCGCATAACGAGCGGCAATGCATTTTGTGCTGAAACGTGTTTGTTTCGGTGCATTCTATTATTCCCCCAAATTGGTTGCAATAATTTTGAGTCATCCTGCTTTTGGTAATTAAAATTTATTTCAAATGTTTCAATGTCAACAATCTATTGTTTTAGCTTTTGAAAGTGCAAAAAATCAAATTTTATAACTAATAATGTTTTTAAATGTTTTTTAAGTTTAGTGGTTCAGGAGAAGTGCCTATATGGGGAGTCATACTTCAACTTAGCATGACTGTCGTTCTTCCAGTGATCATTGGACAGCTCATGAGAATTGTCGTTGGCAGCTATTTTGAACGTCACAAGAAACGATTTTCTACCATTGGAAGGTAACTTATTGTTTCAGCTTTAGGCTTCGAAAGAGGTGATTTTTAATTGCATATGACCCAAAATATTGTGATAGCTAGAAAAATTCTGTTTACTTTTCAGTGCATTTTACTAAGACCATCCACCTTAAAAGTTTTTGTTACTTTATATTGTATTTTTTAGTCTTTAGCTAAAATTTTATCTGTATTTTGAATTTTAAACCTCCTTTATACTTTTAAGTCTTAGACATGTTGCACACCTCGACGTTGCCAACAAAACACAACAAAACTTTAAATCCTGCTCATCAATTTAGCTATTTAGAATGAGCCGAATAATCGTCCATCTAGTAGATCCGTGAATTGGTGAGTCTGTTTTGTATAGAAGAGTGTAGGATTTGAAATCTCAATGTCGGAGATGAATTGTTGAAAGGCCGAATAGGTGAAAGTTAGATTTTTGTATTTTACTGCTTTATAATTGAGTTCCCGTAAGTGGATGGCTACTAATAGTTGATTTCCACTTGTACTATAAGACGTAATTTTTAATGAACCTTTGAGTTTTACTTCTTGTTGGCCACTGGGAATTGTTATAGTGTTGATATTTACATGGCATAAATATTACAAATTGGTTACATATTGATTACAAACATGTACATAAATATTACATATTGACACATGTATATATATTAATCACATTGCAGTAATTCCATTTATTTCTTAGTTATTTCCATCCCCGAAGTTCGGCGACGTTGCAGGAAACCCGTAAGTAGGCTCCCAAACCTAAACCTCAGGGGGAGGGGGTCCCGAAATTACTTAAACCGGCCCTCTTAAATGGATACAATTAGATAGTTACATTGGTTTAACCGTACAAATTCACTCTGATTTCGTTAATTAAGACGTTTTCATAGGTAGCCATACTGCCGGCGTTGTTTATCAGTAGAAGAATTTGAGGGGGTCAACTCTAATTTGGTGAAATGTTATATTGTCATTGCAAATTGGTAATGTAAGAAATTACAGTATGTTACCGGGCCACTACAATGACATTCCTTTCTTCCTGACCCTTGCAGTATAGGAGTTAATAAATTCAACTAGCAAATTAAAAGGATTGTGGTCCAATTCTCGGCGAGAGCGCAGTTGATTTTTAGCGTTTCTCGCTTCGGAAACTTACGTTCTATACAGTATACTTGCAAAATTTCAAGAAAATTTGTTAGACTGAAGTGAAATCCTTCCTCTCTAAGGATAATATTTTCCAATTATACGTAAAAATTCTGTTTTTTAAATCAAGCTCTAGAAAAAGTTTTTATAACTATTTATTTTCATTTAACTTGTTCATTTTGTTTCAGTTTCAATAATATAATTTTCTTTCACAGTTTTATGTTACTTCTCGTCATTTACACAACGTTTTGTGATACGTTCGCCAAACATGATACAGCATTCACCATGTCGACTGTGATAACGACTTCTGTAGCAGGTATGTTGTCCACAAATGTTTTAAGAATATTCTTGTTAGCCCAGATGGGCTATTAATCTCAAAAGGGGATTTTGAGTTGAATCACTATGAAAGTTTGAATCATTTTTCAAATTGTTGCCACCAAATAATATCGCCCTGTATTATATTTACAGAAATTAAATAATGAAGAATTTGAATGCATGCATGCATGTTTTTCTCATTGTGAAAAAACAATGGTAGTTCAAATTGTGTATAACATATACCTCCACCGAATATGGACACCTGGAAACCCGAATTTTGAATTTGTTTTATTGTGTATTTCATATTTTGTAAAATCGTGACGAATTTTTTATTAACAAACTCAATGATTTCAAAGCGAGCAATGGCAACACTGCATGGGAGAAAACATTTTTATCTCCAGCGCACGAAACTGTCTATCGGAAATTCTAAAGATATGTTGTTTTTAAATATTTTATTGTGTATATCAAATTTTGTAAAACTTTTGACGAATTTGATTAACGAACTTACAAAGCAATACTTAAAATGAGTCAAGCGCGTATGGCAACATTGAACGAAAACAAAACATTTAATCTCCAGCGCGCGAGACTGTCTGATCGTCCTCTCTATATTATGTTTTCTATTTTTAAGTCAAACACAGATGTGAACACAGAATGTCTGTATTTTGGTAAGTTTACAAGGTGTAGGTGTAAAGGGATTTTTCCCGAAGAAGCGCTGTTTGAAACGTGTATGTGTATGTAAATAGGGGGGGAAGCCTTTTGGGTATGTATAAAATTGAAAGTTTTCAGGATTTTTTTTTTTTAATTTTCTTCTTTTCTTTAATAAAACTTTTCTTTTCTTTTTGACGCATTAAAGTTGAGTGCCAGACAGCTCTTTTTGTGCAATATATGGAACGGCATGTGCCGTCCTTGTCCGCACTCGATTAGGGACTCCTAACTCCATTGTTGTTCTCTAACATAGTTAAAATAATGAAAATATCCAATTAACAATGAAAGTGAAAACAGTTCAGAACAATTCATAATGAAATTTTTATATTGATGTTGAAAAATTTATAATAAATGAAGATTACTACACTTCCAGTCTAAAAATGTAATTATTGCAGCTGTACTCTCAAGAATCTCAAAATGCTTATCTGATTCGATAGAACATTGTTAGAGCTTTACAAATGTCTAAATATTCCTAAGACGGTTTAGCCGTTTACGTTTTATACAAACGAGTTAATGAGAGCTCTCAAACAGCATATATAACGCTTGGTACAACATTTGTTCAGAAAAAAATATATTGGAGAATCGTGCAGTATTTCAAAATTAGATGTCAAGAAACGAGGAAAAAAGAAACAAAAATGGTTTTAGATAATTTATATATAGTTTGCTAAGAACACATTTTCGATGCCCTGTTAAATTAAACTTTAAATTCTATCTTTAAATGATTTAAAGCATCGATGATTTCAATTTACATGCCATGAACTTAAAATCTGGACTCTTATTAATGAAAGCAAATCTAAGAAGATTCGAAGTGCCTTTTGAATAAGATATAAACCGGGGTGAGAAAAAGAGAACTTCTTTTTAAGATCTGGGGGTAAATCCTGTTTTATGCCTAAGTCCCGCGTAAAAATAAATGCATGGTGCACAATGTCATTACATTAAACGTAAATTAATACACAAAATTCTTCTATATACAACAAGATGTTCTTTTTTAAACTTCTGCTTCAGTTACTGAGCTTGTATCAGGCATTGGTTTCTATGTTGTAGAGACATAAGTTATTTTTTTGAAAGCAGGAAAGATGAAAAATATGCAACGAATTCTCCGGGAACCGAACCGCGGACCTCTGAATTACGCGCTGAGCTTGCAGACCACCACACCAGGAAAGCATGCGAAGAAGGCGGGAGAAATACCTTATAGTGTGTAATTAATTTAGTTCTGAAATATTAGATATGATTGTATGTGAATTCTCTTGTAAATTATTTGTACTATCTATCGATATTGGCAGCACTATATAAGGAAATACTTGTTCTAAATTTATCTCCCTCGTTTACAAAAATCAGTTTTGAACAATGAATTAATATATTGAATTTATTTAAAGACACACATCTTTTCATATGAAATAAATACTTTCATTCTACAGTTTGATAAACATATTTTAATTTATTTTATTCTTTTAGTTATTCTACTGCAGTTAATTTTATTGGGAATAGCTTTTGGTGTAGCAAGTAATTTGACATCCCTCTATACTCCTGAAGATGTTGTTGCAATTTTGTACTGTTCTACACACAAGTCATTAACATTAGGTAATTAACTATTTTTATAAATTTTTATAAATGCTTAGCTATAATTTTATATTATTCTAGACATAATTAATTGACATTACACCAAATATTTTTATTAGTATTTCTTAATGCTCATGCAATGGTGAAAGGAAATGGTCACTTTCTATTTAAAAATTTTTTAGGATTTCCGATGCTAAAGGTGCTGTATGAAAATCATTCTCAGTTTGGTTTGATTTCTTTCCCTTTACTAATATACCATCCAATGCAAATTTTACTTGGAAGTATATTGATTCCATTTATTCAACAGTGGGCATTAAAAGCAAAAAGGTAAGTATTGCAAGGTAAATAATAAAAAATTTTATTATTGTTTCGTGCAAAACATGTAAATTTAATCTAGAAACAATGCAGCTACAATTTTAATTATTATAACCATAATAAAATTTTTAAAATGTTAGCCTTTTCGTAAAAGCTGAATGTACGATGTATTATTTGCATGTTTAAAATACAATGATATTTAGATGCATCTAAAAACTAAGAAGTATTGGGCCGAAAATTATGCAAATTTCAGTGTAGACGTACGTCACCGAGTTATGCGAATGATGTGGAATGTGCAGCCATCCAGCGCACGTTGAAGAAGATACAAGGGGAGGAACCTTCAGAATGTTCAGTTTTCATGCCGCTATTTCTGCTAGGGAAATCGTAGAAAATTTGTTCTTCTCTCAGAACAAATTTTTAGAAATTTGTATGTAATAGCAGAGAATACCAGGCCGTCGTCAAGGCAGTTAGTTCCAGCAGACAGACGATTTTACGAGGGGCATGGGAATCGGACTGAGAAGGAGAGGTTGGCTCTTACGGCAAATCTCAGCTGACACACGCCTGGACGCGTCCACGGTGCATCGATGGAAACAGTTGTGTGGCTGATGGCTGTACGACGATGGAACAAAGAAATGTGGCAAGTTCTAGCGGTGCCGCTGCAGCCAGAGTCAGCACGCGTGGATCAACGCATCCGCCGACAAGCGGTGGCGTACCCGCAAGCCACTTCTACCTCCATTCTGCAGCATGTTGAAGACACCCTGGATGCACCCATATACCAAATTCAAACATGGAGGAGCTAAAATTTTGAGAGCTAATTTTGAGAGCTAATTTTTTAAAAACTACTCGTCCGATTATTACAAAACTTGGCACTTTGCCATAATTTGAATCATGGAATCGAAATATGGGGGAAAAAATGGTGTGCTATTTCAGAAAAAAGTCCGATTTTATGTCAAAATACCTATGTTGAAATAATGCTATACATAAATTTAATATGCATCCTAAGTCGCGCTTTTGAGATATGGAAAACGCAAGTTAAATTTCGAGAATCGTTCCAGTAGAACGGGAAATATAGGAACAGTCCCATTTCCACGCCCCTTTCTTTCTTTCTTTTCTTTTTTGGTGCAAGGTGTACATTAAAAATCCATGGTCCATAGTTTATTAATAAAAATCAGATTACTTATTTTTTAAATTTTCATGCACTGATTTTATTAATATTATATGCTGTTAACACTTTCTATACATTACATATCCAGAGAGGTTTTTAGTTAATTCGAATTAATTGCATCTAATTAAGTTTTGGTAAACTCTCTTAATTGCGTGCGAAAATGCTTTACTTGTTTTATACCTATTTTCATTATTTTTAGAAGGTACAAGAGCAAATCATATCCTCTGTGAGAAATGAAGAGAAAACGAGCTATACATTTATAAAAATGGTTTTGTATTATAATATTTTTATTTAACTTGTTTGTATGTTTTTCTGTACCTGAAATATTTCACTATTAAAATGTTCTATTGCATTATTTTTTATATCTGTTTGGTGCTCATTGTTCTAAATATGTGATATAATTTTATCACATGCTCAAGATTATCTTATAAAATATAATTTTTTATTGTTTATCAAAGAATATTTAATTAATTATGATGTATCTAACTAATTGTAATTTAAATATGTATCATTAAAAAGTTGTAAAAAGCATTAAGAAGGAAGCCACGCCCCCTAGTAATTATTTCAGGTTTGTAAACTGTTTTTTATTGAATAAAAAGTGAATAGTTTATTAGCTTCCTGTGCTACTTTTCAGAATTAAATAATATGAATAGAAAGAAATTTTGCAAATTACGTGTATGAAAGAAAAACAAATGCTAGCTGTAGCAATATGTAAAAACATTAAAAAATAAAGAAAAAATAATAAAGATTAATAATAGTCAAATAAAGAATATCTTTTCAAAATATGTAAAAACACATTTTCAGCTATTTGAAATGACATAAAATATAAAGAAATTGAACGTTAAAATATTTTCAGTAGAAAGTAAATATATTATACTCTTGAGAGCATATATTCGTTTACAGTTTTATAATTGCTGAAGACTAATAATAGTCAAATAAAGGATATCTTTTCAAAATATGTAAAAACCCATTTTTGAGCTATTTGAAATAGCACAAAATATAAAGAAATTAAACGTTGAAATGTTTTCAGTTTAAATATACAGGGTGTTTATACAGTCACGGACCCATTTTGATGTTTAATAACTCATAAAATAATGAAGATATAAACAAACTTATGGCATTTATTGATGGAATAACTTATATATTTTCCTTTTCAGGTTTGAATATTTTTACTTTTGTTGTAAATATCGTCTGCGCGTGCGGTTAATTTCAGATAATTTCATTTTCCAGTCTAAATATCTGTATTTTTTTAAATATCGTCTGCTTATTAATTTTTAAAGCGCATAATGTTCTCCGACGAAGCATCCTTTCATCTTTCTGCCATTGTTAATTGCCATAATGTGCGCATATGGGGATGTGAAAACCCCCATGAATACCGTGAGGCACAAAGGAGTTCCCCAAAGGTTAATGTGTGGTGTGGACTAATGCACGACCGAGTCATTGGGCCTTTCTTTTTTACAGAAAAGACAGTCTCATCAGTTGTATACTTAGACATGTTGGAAAACTTCGTATTTCCACAACTAAGAAGAGCTTCAGCCACGTGTCTTTTTGCAACAAGATGGTGCACCGCCTCATTGGGGTACCATCGCTCGTAGTTCTTTGAATGACCTTCTTACAGGAAGATGGATTGGGCGAGGAGGTCAGCGTGGGCACACATGGAAGCTCATCGATAAGGGTCATGAAACTTTTTGAGTCTATCTAACCATTTATGTTATTAATTTTAATCTATCTTTATTATTTTATCAGTTATTAAACATCAAAATGGGTCCGGGACTTTATAAACACCCTGTATTATACTCTTGAGAGCATATATTTGTTTACACTTTAATAATTTATAATACTATGAAGTCAATGAATTTACATTTTTGTTATCTGCTATAGTATGTAATATAAGGAGAGGAGTGTGAAAAGCTTTGATTATAAAGTTATTTTAAAAGGTGTTTTTAATCCTCACTGGTGAAGGCAGAAGCTTGTAAAATTTCTCATTTTAGGATGCATGCATTTTAATCTATTTATTTTTGAATAGAGACTTTTTCAGAAACAAAATTATTATGTTTATTTAATTTTCTTAGTTATATTTTATTGTATTTTATGTAAATATTAAATTTTTAGAGTGTAGTTTCTGTTGCATAAATACTCAAATTGATGTGCCTAGTAGTATTTATAGTCTTGTACTTAAAATATTAATTCTAGAACACTGTATATAAATTTTCTTTCAAGTTTTAGCAAAAAGTATTTAAAATTTTTATCTAGCTAACGCTTTCTTTTGTATGATGGTGCTGGTAAAATGTTCTCGATTAATTTTTAATATTAAGTGTACATTTTTGTTAATTATTAGTTTACTATTTATGAAGCGTGGTTATTTAGTTAATAAGGTATTTCTCCCGCTTTCCTAGCGTGCCTTCGTGGTGTAGTGGTTCTGCACGCTGTGCCGCTATTCCAGAGGTTCGTGGTTCGATTCCCGGCGAAGACGTTGTTAATTTTTCATCTTGCCTGCTTCCAATTAACTTAATGTCTCTACAGTGCCGCCCGAACTAAAACGGGTTATGGGTGATGATTCTCCTCACACAGGATTTAGTGATTGGGTCCCCTAAAAACCCCAGTCGCCCTTTAAAAAAGGGGAGTTTATAAGGTATTTCTCCCGCTTTCCTAGCGTGCCTTCGTGGTGTAGTGCTTCTGTACGCTGGGCCGGTATTCCAGAGGCCGGGGTTCGATTCCCGGCGAAGGCGTTGCTAATTTTTCATCTTGCCTTCTTCCCCAAAAACCCTAATGTTTCTACAACCATATACAAATGTTGCTAAATGATAGCTGCGTACTTTAAATATCCGAATGCAAATTTTTTTATTCGATTTATTTTATGTTAGAAAAACATCAGTTTAGAAACGCAGTTTTCACATTTATTACCTTTTGAAAAAATTCAAAATTTTGTGGTTGATGAAATTCAATATGTGATTACGTAGCCTTTCTTGCCTCAAAGACCTCAAAGGCCAAAAATGTCCTCAAAGGCGTTTCAGTATTTACAGGTTATAATGTTCCTTTGTACTTTATCTATGCTGAACGTAGAGGAACCTAGTGAACTGAGTTGCGACTTATCGCTGAGTTCGAGTATTTAACGACAGAATCCAGAGAAGGGTTAAAATACTCTTTTATTCACTCAAAGAAATAATCACAGATGGCCCCCCTTCTCGGGCTTACAGGAAGGCCTGCACTCGGGCTTTTAAATCAAGATAAGAAAATGAGAAACTAATCTAATACTAAACTAAGCCGAAGCTAGATACAAATACCCAACATAGTTGGCTCTTAATTTAACCTAGCTGGCGATTATCAACAGGCACCGACATTTGAAGGTTTCAATGTAACCGACATTTGAATCTTCAAATGTCGGTGCCTGTTACAATACGGCCGAGCGTGGTAGATTTAAGAAGGAAGTAGTCTGACGGTAAACCTGTGCCACTAAGGACTCCAAATCTTTCCCTTCTGGAAATAAGCTGAACCTTCCTTAAATACCCCTTCTGACTCATTTGCATGTAACGCCACATTAAAGACTCATTCTGGTAGGGAATAGTAGATGGGAAATGAGAATAAATAGTAAAGCATGTTCTAACTGTTATTTTAACTGTTAGAAACTTAAAGTAATCTGTACAAGGTAGCTATAAAATTCTATAATCTACGGGGTTCAATCGACGATGCGTAATATCTTTAATTTATCTTCAGTATTATACCACAGTCAGTCGTTTGTAATGTCATTTTATCTAAATTCCTATACAGTATTTTAAAATTGTTATTTTATGCCGTGAATAATAAGCTAATAATAAACTTTTTATATATGTGGACTTTGAAAAAAACTCTTTTTCAAAATACTTTCATGTTTTTATTCAGTATTTTGATATTCTTCTTTTTATACCATTGTACATTTCAAAGAGAAACGCAAAAATAACGCCATAGCTTTTAAAAGTGAAATTCCTTTTTGCTAAACGTTTTTCAATAGTCAAGGTTTAGTTTTATGAATGGCAAGATTAAATATTATTTTCACGCAAGAGGAGAAGAAAAAAATGAATATTTGTACTTTTTTATGTAATTAAAAAATTATTTTTGAACGGTAACCTCTATTTTAAGCTCGTAGGCTGTAATCTGTAATTTTCGGACTGAAAGTCCCTCCCCCCGTTTATTTATTTTTTTTTTTCGATAAAATTATTTCCAAGTCATAAGTTTGACAATTTGTTTTTGAGCACCAGTTTTACTGATTGATCCAGAAGATTTTTTATAGGATGAAGAAATGCTTACTAATCAGACATTGTTTCGTAAAGGGCCCGTAAAGGGCCCGTTTATTTTTTTTTTGATAAAAGATGCCACGTGACCAAAATTGTCGTAATCTAAAAAAAAAAAAAAAAAAAAAAAAAAAAAAAACTATCATATTTGATTCATATCTTCAATTGGAATAGCCTAAAACAACCAGATATTTAGTTATGCATATCTTTTGAAGGAACTTTTCATTTTATTTATTTAAAATATATTAATAAGATGAATATTTCACGTATGCCGGAAGAGGAATTATGCCGGAAGAGGTCGTTTTTTTTGAAAATATTTCATTTTTTGAGGATATTTGTAAATAGTTAATGGTTTTGATGGCTCATTTCCTGTTATAATTTGCTCACACCACCTAGTTTATTGAGTATTATGACAGAAAGCCTGCCAGAATATAAGATTTTGTATATTTTATTTTCTAAGCATGCATATGTATGGTATATATATATATATATATATATATATAACGGAATCTTTTTTACTGAAAATTAATGTGACAAAAGAGAAACTTTTTAAAAAAAATTACAGAACATTATACATAACAAAACGAAATAACTTTTTTTATTAATTTTCTCTGTTTAACGCTTCAAACAGAATCTGTCAGGAGAAAGTGTTTTGGAGACTTAAACCAAGTTTATTAATGAGTTTCGAATGCATGTTCCGTTTCTCTGAATTATTTAAGACATAAAACCGCGTTTTAGTGCCAAATCTTCATTTTAAAACAACATTCAAATAGTTTTCAAATATTCAGATCTTTTCCCTACATGCATTCGTACTCAAATAAGACCAAAGTTTATATAAAAATGTTAAATAATAGACCTTCATATAGAAGGAACAAAATGTTATTCAATTTCGTTCAGATATTTACTTTTTGATGTATATATTATATTTATGTCGGAATCGAAACTCCTGTGCCATTATTAATTTTGCGGATTAAATATAATTTTTTTTTGTATTATATACGAGGGCATTTCGAAAAGTAAAGATACAATGGCTCGCATTCCCTTAATAAAATAATAAAATTTAAAAAAAAAAAAAAAAAAAAAAAAAAAAAAACTTATTCAGAAAACGTCAGTTACATCTTATTAACTGGATTATTTATTATTTTTCGACACAATCATCCTCGTTATCCAAACATTTGTTAAGTCGGTGCACAAGCTTTTGTATCCAACAAGCATAGAAGGTTGCCGCCTGTTGGAACCCAACGCGCACACAATTTTCTCTACCCTAACTTGACAGTCACAACTTCATAAAGAGTTGTCATTGACACTTCCGGTATGATCTGATGCAATTCTTTCAATTTGAGACGTCTATTCGCACGAATTGCTTCCTCTGTTCTCTGAAGAAGGGCATCAGAGATCACAGATGGCCGACCTGTTCTTTGTTCGTCATGAACATCGGTCCTACCTTCAGAGAAATGACGACACCATTTCGTTACATTTTGTCGATTCATAATGTTCCCATAAACAGAAACAATTTCTTTGTGAATATCCGCTGGTCGCTGATCTTTTGCATGAAGAAAACGTATGACGGAGCGCACTTCGCATTTGGCGGGATTTTGAATCGGCTCAGCCATTTTAAACACGACCTACTCCAACAGGAATCAACGTTGAAATGCCGAACGACCTAACGGTTCAAGGGTAACACTTGTGTTGCCAGCTTGCTCACCAAAACTTTTCTTTTCCTCTGGCGTACGGTGTATCTTTACTTTTCGAAATGCCCTCGTATGTGTTACATGATATATAAATTCTGCCTTTAAATTTTATGATGCTGTACTGATTTATGACCACATATGTATTCGAAATAAATGTTTTTAAATTTTACATTGTTTTTTTTTTTTTATGAAAATTTAACAATCACGACACTTCTGTTTGTAGGTTTAATTTGGAACTCTAAGGAACGATTTTCGCACTGATCTCGTTTTCGAATCAAAATACTTTTTTTTCTTTCTTTTCGCCATCAACAGAGCAGCTGATCATCCGTGTTAGGTGCTCTTAAGCCTGGGGAATCAAAATAGTGTTATTTCCTTGGATTCTGTTAAATCAAGTTGTAGAGACATTATAGGAAAAATGTGGAAGGCCCTCGCCGGGTCTCGAACTCGGTCCCCCTGTTCTCGAATTAGTCGTGCTTTCAGTTATGCGAGAAAGGCACGCCAAAAGGGGGGAAGAAAATATCGCATTTATTCCCTTTTTTAAAGGCGACTAAGAATGGGGGGATTCAGTAGCAGATCCTGGCGGTGACGAATTATTGTCCACCACCTTTTAGTTCAGGCACCACTTGTAGAGTTTTTAGAATTTTCAATATCAAGAAACTGAAGAAATCCGTAATACTCTCGCTGGGATTCGAACTCCGGATCTTCTGATTATCCGTCGGATATACTTCCAGTTACAGCATGAAGGCACGCGGAAAGGAATGAGAAAACACTTTTAACTAAAGATTTACGAGAGAGGAATGGCAACAAAAATTGCCAAGAATTTTGGACCATACAAAAACGACGAAAATTTATAATCACAAAATTCAGGAAACGTTTCTTTATTTCATGCAAGTGTATGACGTACGTCAACACATGACATATTGAATTATGAAGATTCTAATTACTCACACACACTTCCTTTCGTAAACTTTACAGTTTGGAGTGAAATAATAAATACAAAAATGATTCTTAATAATCTTTAGTCCTTTGGTAAATCTTAATAATGCATTAGCGTTAACTCATTGGGTTAAATGGTCACAACATAAAAAAGTAGATTTATAATAAAAATAACTCGCACAATAACCTTATAAATCTACAATTTCAACTCATTTAAAATACTATAGCTTAAATTTCCTTCAAGTTTGAAACTGTATATTTCAATTCAAAACGATGTAAACATTCGATATTAAATCACTTAAAGCATAACTGTAACGTGCTTTAAGAAAAGGGCACAACCAATACGTCATAAAAAGAGTATTCAAATCTGAAACAGGTAAACAACGTCTACGATTTGTGCAGCATCTTCTAGGTGTTAGTGAAATAAGAAATCAAACTGTCAAATTCAAGCTGAAAATAAGTACATTGTAAAATTATTCTAAAAATACATGTTATTTCACGTCATAACATCTAACATTTCTTCATAGCAGCGTGAATAACAACAGGAAATCCATATGTTGTTGCCAAATGGAACTGCTTAATAAGTCAATATTTTTATGTTTTTGACGTGGCTCGGAAATCAAACGTACTTTTGAGAAGTCGCGAGGAAAATTAACAAAATTATCTCGCAGTTTAAATTTGAAATTTATTTATAATTCGTTTTATGTTTATTCCCTGAATGAATGTAATTATACAATAGGATAAACAGTGTACAAGCACAGATTTAAAAGTCTGTCAAAATTACTCAAGTGCCCAGTCAAAGGTATGCACCTTAAAATATTTCGATTTTTAAATATTGAATTATTATAAAATTGTACAGTTAGAAATTAAGTGAATTTATTTAGTTGATAATTTTAGTAGTTTTGGGATGCCATCAAACGAAATAATCAAAATTAAAATAATAAGAAACAGGAAAAATAAACGATGTTAATAAAAGAAAAAGGGTACTTTTCTGTTATCGGGACCGGAATCAGAAAATGTATGTATGTATGCACGTGTGTATCTATGTATGTGTTTATATGTGTGTGTATATACACACGCATACCTATACTTGCTTACATATATACATGCATGCATGAGCACATCCATCCATCCATCCATACATTTCTGATTCCGGTCCGGATAACAGAAAAATACCAGAAATATATCAGCGGACCCACCAGCGATTGAGTGGTAAAGCTCTTGAACGCTGGTAGTTTAGTTCGAGGTTCGTGAACGGGATTAACTGCAGGAACGTTTTCGCGTGGTTTTCTTCATATGTAACGTGTTAATACGAGTCAGTTTCCCTTCGAAAGGCCTCCACGAAAGCATCCTTTCCTTCCGTGAAGTGCTTTAGGGCGGAACACGTAACTAATAAAAATAATATATCAGGGATACTTTCTGGTTATATTCACTCCCGATATCAACATTCTCTTAAACTGTCGTGTTTTTTAACGTCTTTTCATGCATTCACGCGATGACAGTCATCTAATGCAAGAGCGTACCACACACATGCTTGAATATACGTGGATTCAGACACTTCATATTTTACCATCAGTCTTCTATCCCCACCTACTGGCCGAGTGGTCAAGACACACTGGTAGTTCGATCTAGGTACCTACACAACACTGGTAGTTCGATCTAGGTACCTACACAACACTGGTAGTTCGATCTAGGTGCGAGTTTGCGTGAACAGTCTGGCTGCGTGAAAGATTCCATGGTTTTCTCTATGTGTTGTTGTTGTTGTCCTTGCCCATGTTTTTCATGAAAGAATGGCTGCCGCAGCCACAAAGAGTCTGTATGTGTAAATCTTTAAAGTGATCGAACAGGTAGTTCGATCCGGACTCGAATCTCAATGAAGGGAATGGCTGGGGAAGAGCTTTCGTGGTTTCCCCTATGTGTATTGGATACGGGCCAGCGTGTCTTAGAAAGTCCTCCTTGTGTCAACCTTACCTTACTCACTGACTTAATGTAATCAGCGTTACTCTGCGAGTGCACGTTTTTTGGTTTGGAGGAAGTTGTGTAACGAATCTTTATGGCTGGCATGTTCCCATTTAAAAAAGCCTTATTTTATTCTAGAAAAAAATGCTTTATATCTCAAAATTGGCGTTTTTGAAGTTGTATTTCCTGAAAGCGATTGAAGTAAGTTAAAATGCAGTGCCAAAAACTGCAAACATAATTTAAGAATGCGGGTCATTTTGGCCTTATTTTTCGTCTTAGGTAAATTTCCTCTTGAAGGTAAATTAGCCGGATTATGTGGTCTGGCAATGTGTTTCCAATCTTGCTTCCGTATCATCCTACGATTTTCATCTACTCTGTTACAAATACTCCGCAGGTATCATTTTTCCTTATCCACCGTAAAGCTGTGGTTGAATCTGTCCAAAAGTATTCGATGATGATATGAAGTTTGAGGCTGGTTTTCAAAAATTTAGGTTAACCCGAACCGAGACAGCAAGGTAAAAGTTCTAACCTGGGTATAAATATTTCCTGCAAAGGCGCTACTTTCCATTTTAAATTTAGTAACTGCGCAAAAGTCTCCCAAACGGTATAGTGGTTAGGGGAACCTACTACGGTACCGAAGGGCCCTCGTTCTAATACCGGAGAAGGCATGGATGTTTGTAAATGTATAGTGTTTTTGCGCCATGGAGGCACTCTAAATATATCATGAGTCAAACGTCCTCTTGTAGGGTTTGGTGGTATGGGGAGGGAAGCCCTTACCACACCCGGGATGCTCTATCTCAAAATGGGGGTGGAAGTAGAAGTCCAACTTCCTTGAGGCTCTGGCAACCATTCTTTCATGAAATTCATGGACAAGACAACAACTGTACAGAAGCCCTTTTATCGGACTGACATCCTAAGTAAAAAGCAGCAGCATAAGAAGTTCCGCGCTTATCCTAAAGGGTATGTAGATTCCGGTATTCAGAGTATGTATCCGAAAGGGTATGTCGATTCATTTCTGAGCGCTCAGCAAGAAAGGGGTGTTTGAGAATTTCCACAAAGCGCAATGCATATTGATTCTCTACCAATTTTAGGAATTGTCTTCTAATACATCAGATTAGGTTTTCAACAATGTGACTGGACAAGAAAATCCAATTGGATTAGAAATATTTTGCGTGAGAGATAGTATGCTGTTTCTTGTAGCAGGTTCCCGATTTTTATCTACTGTTGGTATGCAATATCTAAACTTGTCTGCTGACCTATTCCCAACTAAGTCTAATACAGTAGACATCTTTGAATCAACACATCGACCGTCAGAGATTCCTTTTGATTCTTGGATATCGTTATGCTTCATTTTTGTTGGAGCTGTTATTTTTTCCGGCTTGCTGTAGCGCAGCCCGCAAAAAGGCCATAGGGTGATGTAAAGTCTGACAGGAGGGCAGGGCTGCGCTTCTCACATCACATCACATCGGTATGCTTCTCCCCCGTTAGGTCAAATTTAGCTTCTGCTATAACCGCTGTTGAAATCTCTAAAAATTGCTTTAATTCTTCTTTGGTTTTATTTGAGGTAACGCAATTGTCCACATAAAAGAAAGTACTGAGTTTTCCAGCAGTTTTACTAGCAATAGATACCAAGTCAATGGATGACTTGCCTTTTCTAAGTGAAATTGTAAAACTGCATTTAGTAAAAATGGATTGCAGTTTAAGCCGAAACTACACGAACATTGTTGAAAAACTTTCATCTGTCCACCAGTTGAAGTTTGAAATATTCACGATCTTATTTGGCTACTGAAACTGTCTTCTTTATATCAGGTGCTAGCAGCTACGCGGCCATCCTTCGTCTGGCTTTTAAATGTACAGGGAACACCAAACGTTAAATTTAAAAACTGCGAAGTATTTTACTCTGCAGAACAACTTCATTAAGAAACAAAAATTTAAAACAAATTATTACATTAAAAAATGTATAACAAAATTACAATGAAATAAGCAATCAAATTCAAATGGTATACAAGAAATTAAAAACTTTGTTTCCTAAAAGAAATCATGCAAAACTTTTTATATAATTAAAATTATATATAATTGAAACATAATAAAATTACAATGAAATAAACAATAAATCTCATATTTTCAAGAGAAAACACCCAGCAGTCCAGTATCCAAACCAATGAACTGTTGCCAAAACCACATTTCTAAAAGAAGGAAACTATCATCAGAAAGCAATAACCAATCAAAATTGTGCTTTGTGGATGACATAATTCAAAATAGACAAACCTTTTTGCCAAAGTTAATAAAGAGAGGAGGCAAAAAAGGAAATTCTTTTTGTTGAGCCTCGCGAGACATATGCGCGTCAGAATAAGAAGATTGCGATGGGCGTGTTGCGTGTCTAAAAATCAATAGAAAAAGAGCAGCATTTTATCTCCAATTTTCAAAAGTCAGCAGTCTGAATGAAAAACTGTTGCCAAAACCACATTTCTAAAAGAAGGAAATTATTCAAAATAATGGAATAACATTAAAAGAATTTAAAAAAAAAATCTGATTTGAATTTTGAAAAAATCGCTTTGAGGTGCGCTGGCTCTTGTCTAGATGCACCTATATATCAAATTTCCTAGTCCTGAGTCTATTAGATTACGCGCAGCACGAACGAAAAGCACACAGACTCTTTCTTTTATTATATGTAGAGATTACTCTAATTTATTCTTGATGAAGAAATTAGAGTAAATTAAATTCATGGGCAGTGACGGAATTTGTTTTAAAATAATTTGGTACCTTCACTAAAAAGTCATTAAAAGTGAGATTTATTTTTGCTTTTTGGACGAAGTATCAAACACAGGACGGGCCTTTGTTATGGAATTTCCTTTGAATGCGCCGCGGGGAGTCAAATAGTGCGCAGGACCTTCTACAGCTTCTTCAGCAATATCATCAGCCAACCACTCTTTGAATATTCCATCACAGGCATTGAATTTACCATCTCTTCTCAACTTGGAAGCAATAAAATTTAAACTACAATCTGCACCTTACTATTACTTGGTACCCAAGCTTATCTTCCATCGTCATCAATACGAACAGTCTCTAAAATGCTGCAGGGCGACTTGTTGTAATTCTTCTTTATTTTTCTGCTCACAAGGATTGATTAATACCTATCGCCTAATAGTCTTTGTAATTTTTGTAGTGCTGAAGGTAATGCACGACATTTCGTCGAAGACTGCGTATGATTGCGATATGTTAGAGAAAAGGTGGCAACATTAAGGAATTCTACTGCCGCAGGGAAGAGTTTAGATTTGCAAAGGATTTGATGAACTTTGTAAATGGCAACAATTAGGGCTTGTTCCGCGAACTAAATCCCACTACAAGTCCACTTCGCACTCCTCGGAACCAGGCGCTGAGGTTCAACCTCCGCTCTGGTCCCTTAGAGAGAGAGGCGCACCGCCCAGAAAAAAATCTCCCAGACGGCACTGGTCGTTAATTTGCTACCCACCACTCGCTCGGGCTGCCCGTCGTCGCAGCGGGACATTACCCAGCGAACCCGGGGGCGCTACTCCCCGGGCTACTAGTACCACGCTGCGCTAAAACGTGCCAGACCACCGGGCTGGCCAATGAGTGACCTTTTCGGGGCCTTCAGAACCACCATGTTCATAAATGTTATACCCTTGTGGCCGAAACTGCCTAGGTACAGATTTTAGCCAGTAGCTTCGCAGAGTTCTCTACCCCGACCCCCGGGGAGACTTTATAAATGGCAATGAAACAATTTTGGAATTTCGATTTGTTGTATTTTTAACTGTATTTTTGTTTTAATTTGTGTTGGGTGTGCTTAATTTCTAGTAGTTTATGTATAGTCATACAGGATGTTACACGATTACGTGTAATCATTATTTGTCATCTTCTGCATTAATGCGCCAGTTGCATTATCAGTGTATCATTTCTTTTAATGTATAAGTGTTTGTTGTTTGCCTATCTCATTAATCACTTAGGCCAATACACATATGTATCCAATGTACCTATACCAGCCAGAAGCATATATGCATACGCCCTTGTTTGGCCACGTATAAACCTCATATTCTCCATTGATAAATTATCGATGCAACCCTCGCGGCTGTGTTGTTCTATATAGGTGCGGATACCGGACGACACCCGAATTGTCATATAAAGCCTACCGGGCCCTACATTCACTTGTCGCCTGTGTTGGGTATGCTGCGTTAACGATGAGGCCGTTTATTATCGGCCAGGAGGGTTGCAGCACATTCGTATGTTACATTACACTACCTATCTATTCGAGATTAGCGATATCGTTACCTTGAACTAACAGACGTGTGACACAATAATCGACGTACTTCTTTTCTGGTTTTCCCATTATTATCCATCCCAAATGTGTCTTCATAGAAGCGAGTCTTTTAACTGATATGACAATCCAGCAAAAGGTTTTCGTGCATAAACAGCTCCTATCAACAGTTCTGTTTGAGAAGAATTTCGAAATTGAAAGTATTCGAACTCTAAAATTTTCATGCAATAACAATATAGTAGATTCTAAAATATAAATTAATCAAGAGTAATAAGTTATGTAAACCAACTCAGTGGCGCAACAGCCCTAGTGGACCACGGTTTGCAGTGCCTTTTTCTGCTTTCTTGACCTTTGAGCCTCGGAAGTGTACCAGCATATGCCGTGAACAAGTGGTCGCAGGAACCCCAGTTTTTAGTCCCCAAGCGAACTTGGTACTCATTTTATCTACCCACTTAAGGGATGAAAGGCCCAGCCCGGGGATCGGATCCTGGCCCCGTGGTACAGCTGCACGATGCGCTAGCAACTTCGCCACGAGCGATAATAAGCTATGTATTCTTCTAATATAATCCAAAGAACGTACTTTTTAACTTCTAGTGTGTTCTTGGTCATTTTATGTAATTTAAGAGTTATGCAACTTAGAGTTTACAGTTTAAGGTCTTTCATTCATTAAATAGATTAAATTTTGACAAATTTTTTCCATTTAAAATTCAATGATCCGGCATTTTTGATAATTATAATTTGGGATTATCGCAGTCCTGAATTTGCTAGATCATCGAAAGTTTACTTTATGTAGAATTTTACTGTATTTAAGGATGGTATTCATCTGATCTGACATTTATGACTGGCTTATTATTAGTGTTTAGTTGCTTATAATTGGATTAGATGCATACTTCACACATTCGGAAAAATCTGCGTAAGACATAGAAGCATATTGGTACACAACAATGAAGCGTTTTCTGTAATAAATTACTACCTGTATACAACAAAGTAACCTCCTGACATAATGTCTACAGTTGTCTGTTGCCCCGGAAGCGAGTCTAAACCCATATAAGTCCATATTTCCTAGGACTGTTTTGAAAAAAATGCATTTACGTTTGCCATCTTAAATGCGCTCAGTGACAAATTCATTATATATGCGCTTTTGACCTTTGTTCGAAGTAAAATAAACGCTTTTTGTGTTATTTAATCATTAAAGGTTATTTTGCCTGTAGTGTTCCTCCCATTTTATCTATTACCTAAATGTGGAGGAACCTAGTGAACGAATAATCGCTTAGTCCAGAAACAGAAATGCAAAACTCAAGAAGGCTTAATTACCCTTTATTGCTCAAAATAAAGGTGTACAGACGGTCCCTTTCTCAGGACGTACAACAAAGCCTCCACTTGGGATTAAACTAAAAAATGTAAGAAATAAGAACTTAACTAAATGACTAACTAAAGAGATTTAGCCGAAGCTAAAACAATTTCTAACTAGTTGGCCCCTAATATTCAATTAGCTAGCGAAGCTATCAAGGGCACGTAATACGCCCGAGCGTAGTTAACAGCTTAGAGAGACGTAGCCAAACGGCAAACGCGCGCTATTCAGAGAATCTAAATCTCTTCCCCGAAGTCAGAGGAACTTCGACTTAAATACTACACCTTCTCATTTGTATTTAACGTGATTCTAAAAACTCATTGTGGTAAGGAATTGTAAACTGAAATTAGGAGAGATAGAAAAGGAGCTTTAATTTAAAAATGACTGTTATAAACTTAGGATACACCTTACATCCCCTTCCTCTTGCAAAATACAGTCTCTTTAAGTAGTGGTTTCGCAATGAAAATCTATGCATATTATCATCCTTGAACACGACACATTCTTCATGATTTCATATTTAAGCAACTCAATGGACTTGATCCGTCTGTTGACAGTGTTATAACTGTCATGAAACGTCTGCACGTTTGCCTCTACCGTCACAAGCCCATCTCCGTGTTCGCTTCAAGTACCCTACAGCTCGAGTCATAATTATCCGAAGGAGTTGTCCACATATAAAAACTCCCGTAAAGGTTACAGACAGTTAATGTGTACTCATCGATGAAAAATGCATATTTTGCACGGTGCTTACTCTAAATTTAGCCACCACTAATTGATACAATTCAAACCTTTCTAAGGCTGTGCCAGACCTTTCAAAAATAGTAAATTAACGGATAATGTCCCAAATAACCATACAGGTTTTACAAAAAACTCTTTTGCAGTCGACGAAATTATTGAAAAGTATTTCAACCAATAAATGTCTATCCTATAAAACGGATTTTAAAGTGCTGGTGAAGGCGAACCTACTCAGAAGTTGGGTTCCAGTAACATGGTATATGTACCGTATACCTGCATAGTGTTGAGGTACTCAAACATATTTTATTACACTAATCTATGGATATTAGTTTTCTCAAGGAAGTTATGGAACAGTTAATTTGTGTGGACTGTAACTTTGTCACCCATGAATATTACGGTGTTATGGAATGGCGGAAAATAATCATATAGGATGCAAGCACCCTGTACTACTTACAGCACTGAGAATCATACTCTGAGGTGTTCCCTGAAGATGAACAACGGTAACACATTACTACCTAAGAATAAGACGATTGGTATATCAAAGAAATTACTCAGTATGTCACTTATCATAACACTTTTATGAAGGGTTCATCACAACGATTCGGAAGGACAGCAGTATATTCCGCAGTATCTGCGTACAAAGTCATTTGGAACATCAGTTTGTGCACTCTATGTCGACTGAATATTACACAGAAAAGCGAAGCTCTTGTTTTGCTCAGGTGTGATGTTCGTTTTATCTCGAAAGACGAGATGTATGAGCGAAATCCATGGAAAAGAATAAATGGGCCACACATAGTTGATCTTGAGCCATAAAGTTTCATTGCTGTAAACTGTTTGTAGAACATAACATTATTACAAGGGACTCGGTGAACTCAATAAGAACTCAATAAGGATTTATTTGACAATTTGCTAATGAAGCCGTAGAGCTATTAAACAATTTTGATCTAACTCGTTGCTGATTTTATTAATTTTCTGAAATTATTTCCCGCGCAATACATTCCTTGTTTTCTGATGGCATGTGACCCTCAGGCCACAACATGGATATTTTGAATGTGTGAAAAAAATGTATTTGTTATCTGAATTCTGTACACCAGTGTGTACGACTTTCATCAGCTAAAAATTTTGCTGCAGATTTCTGACATCATAAATGAGGCTTAAACGCTAGAAATAATCTTTAGTTTGAAATATAAGAAACATGCAATAGAGAATTAAGATTATATGGTATATCTCCTACTTTCCTAGCATCCTTCGTGGTGTAGTGGTTCTGCACGCTGGGCCGGTATTCCAGAGGTCCGTGGTTCGATTCCCGGCGAAGGCGGTTGTTAATTTTTCATTTCTCTGTCTTCCAAAAAATCCTAATGTCTCTACAAGATTACCAAAAGTAAAATTTGTCTTTTGTTTTTATTACTGCGTATGCTATAAATTTATTCTATGTTTCCAATTCAGTTTTTCTCCTAGATATATTGCAAAGATGGCCAATGCTTGCGGAAAAAAAGCATCACCCCTAGTTGAGGACTTGGCGAATCAAGATGGAGAAAATCATTACAATAAGAAGGTTACTAAAGCTACTTCCTCAATTGCAAACCGGCGCAAGAGAATGAAGTTGCCAAAGTCGAATATTGTGACATTGAGCTTAGCGAAGTGTTTTGCAGTTAATAAAGGAGACGTGAGAATAAATTCTTCTAGGAAGTGTCCGAAAGAACGTAAAGCTGAAGAAATCGTCGCTAATAGCTCTTGCGAATCCACTCCATTGAAGCCGCAGCACTCAGAGAATGGTAATCTCAGAAAGAACAAAGTTAATTCTCGAATTTCCAAAAAGAAATCAAGATTAGGCTTAAAAAGTAAGCATTAGATTTCATTTTATGGGAAGAATTTTGCGTTTAAAATGCGAATTGGGAGCACAGACATGAAACAAAATGTTTAGAAATTGTGTTTTTGTACATTATTTATGCGCATTTAAATTAATGCAGACAGTTTGAAGATTAGGTAAGTGATCAAGTGCGCCTCAGAGGACAATAATTCCGATTGCTGTAATAGTTCCCAGCTCTTTGAGAATAACTGGATGGAGTATGTGGACAGAGACAGCATGTCCAGATATATACCAAAGACTTTCATCGAGGTTGAGGTCAGGCAAATACGGTGACCCTTCCATGTGACTAATATCTTCACTTCCAAAGTTTTCACGCTCCATGTGTTCGTATGTAGACGTAATTTATCTCTCTCTATATATGCACAAAAGGAAAGAGTCTGCCTCTGTGTGTGTGTGCCTTTCGTTCGTGCTGCGCGTAAGCTAATAGACTACAGGGCTACGAAATTTGGTACATAGGGTGCATCTAGACAAGAGCCAGTGAATCTCGAAGCGATGTTTTTCAAAATTCGAATTAGATATTTTTTGATGAAATCGCATCTAATCGATGGCACGCAGCTTGTTGCTGATATATCACTGATGCCATTGTTGCTGATATATATCACTGTTGCCATTGTTGCTGATATATCACTGTTGCCATTGTTGCTGATATGAGCACTGTTGCCTATCGGAAAAAATCAGGGCGATAATTCTGTGCCGTTTTTAAATTTAATGCTTTTGTTGGATACTAGACGTTTGTCGAGAGGTACTTGGATACGACGTTTGTCAAGTTTGTCGGGAAGCTGTTTGTTTTCCGGTACATTTAAAAGCCAGACGAAGGTTGGCCGTATAGTGGCCTGTAGTGTATAAAAATAAATGTTGGATCATGCATTTGAGTGTGCAGTATTACAAAGCATTTAAAACTTTCATTCCGGCACTTTTGAGCCGACAACACTATCTGCGAGAGAACATACATTATACATTGCCAGAATTGAAAGCGGGGTGTTTGATATTATTGAGATTGCTATGTGTTCTTTCCTATCTCCAGATCCTTAGCCGTTATTTTTGAATTCCAAAGGAGATTCATCCAAGAACAGTGTGTTGGAACACTCAATTTCTGGAGAGGAAATGAGTTCCATTTCGCATGGTGACGACTCCACTTCAAGTGCGCTTTCATGTATTTTGCTCTTAAAGGACACAACTCAACGTACCCATGCTTTAAATCTTTTCATATGTAATCTTTGCTGCATAGCATCTTTCAGTCGTTGTTGTAATCACTGATCTTATGTCCATATCACGTATCCTTTCCCTACGCGAGACTGGGCGTCGAAAGAGACATTTCTCAGAACTCGCATTTCCACGAAACTTACGTAGCTAGGCTACCATTTTCAATTACTAAACAGACTTGAACGTCAAACAGTAATCGATTATCACTTAGATTGGAAGCAGAACTTTCGTCTGATTGTTTGATCTCTACACGGGACAGAGCTGCAGACGGAACATTTTCGGCGAAGTTTCAAAATATGCCGCATAGCCGGGATATCATTTCTGTAGCTAGGAGGGATTTCGCTTCCAGCAGAGTTGTTTCTTTTAGGAACCCTCCCTTCTAAACCAATCCTACCAGTATCTTATTTCTCAGAAATGTTCCGTCTAGCGGGGATCGTCGCTAGATGGAATAAATCCTTTACAAGTCACTGATCTGCGATCAGGAATCGGGTCCTTAAGTATAGAACAGCGAATTTTATTGACAGATGAGAAAACGTTCCGAAAGTTGACACGATCTCTTTCCACTGGCGCCTAACTAGGGAAACAATATACTTGCGATCGGATGAGAATGCAATATTAGATAACGGTGAACTGGTCTCAGGACCGGGACTGATCCTCAGCAAAGTACGACTAAGAGGACTTTCAATGACTAATCCCTCACTTTGCTTGTAACTCTTGGAAAACAAAATGTGTTTCAGACGGAGTTGAGTAAGGTAAATTGATTAATCAATTTTAACACTGGAGAAATGGAATTCTCGATGCCTCATTTCTAGGCAATTATATGCACCTTTCCCTAGAAAACTGGTGAATAATGATTTTACACCAAAAGAAACGATGACAGAATTTCTAGGGGCAATGATTTTTATCTCTTTTATAAGCTGTATTGAATATTTAGTGTGTAAGTATTAGTAACTAAAAAGTCGAAAATCTGGGAAATGAATAATTAGCTAATGGGTTCGAGGCAGTGTTTAAATTTGATACAAGGCGGAATGGATTACCTAAATTTGGCGCAATGGAATATTTATGAATTTGCATACATTATATAATCTGACACAATTCACAACAGAAAACGATTTTTTTAAAGTATGTCAGAAGTATTTGCGAAGACATAACCTCAGTTTTTATTTTTGAGAGGTCCGAAGATGAAGGGTTTTTAGGGAGCAGGTTATATGAGCCTTTGTTTAAGTTTTACCATCACCATCCGTGTAAATGGTTTTGTCCACGACGACTGTCTTCCACCTTTGCCGGGATTGGGCTATGTAGGTTTTCTTCCGCGTTTAGATTAGGATTCAAAGGTTTATTATTATTTCCAGGGTATGGGCGATAAGATGCTTGATTATTTCCTTCTGTGTATCTGAAACTTTATGGAATTTGAAAACGTTTTTGGTAGGAGCTTAAATCTTTGGAATCGAAGATTTCCAGATTTGTGAGAAGTTAAAATTATATTTCAGAACTCTCTCTTGTTCATCTGATAAACTAAGAATAGAAATATTAACTATTGGTTTCGTGTTTACAACGGGAAGGTTTTTTTGAAATACTTAAAACTGGAAGACTGTGAAAAAAGTTTCGTAATTTAAATACATAGGTCATTTTATGACTTTTAATTGCATGCTTAGTTCTAAATTAAGATTTTTATTCAATGGAAGCAAGTTTTGGACAGGAATTAGCAAGTCCCAGATGAAATTTATATACATTAAATTCAATTTTGGATAACTGTAAGGCTAGTTTGCAATTTAGAAAATGGCATCAGTAAAAAGAATAAAAAATTCGTGGCTTTATAAAGTATTCCTCTCGCGTTCTTAACATGCCTTCGTTGTGTAATAGTCAGCACGCTCGGCGCGTATTTGAGAGGTCCGAGGTTCGAGTCCCAGCAAGGGCATTGCTCAGTCTCCTGCTTCGAAATAACCTAATGTCTCTACAACTTTATTAAGAAATTTCGTTTTAATTACCGAAAGTGTTTTACAGAATGCTCTATGGGACTTAAGTTGTTTTTATGCGATAATTACTTATTTATTTTTTTCGTCTAAAAGAAATTTTTTAAAGGGAATTAAGAAGAATGGCTAAATTGTATTCTTTGATTTATGGAAATTTAATTCTTTTGAAAGCTGAATATTGCACTATACTTCATAGGCCATTACGCAGCTCTTTTGAAATTTGCTTTTTGAAATGATTCATTTAAGCAGTTTAATTCCTCTAATTTAAGAAACTTGTCAGGAGAAAGTTAGTTAATTTTGTATAGAGTCATCCGCTGCGAAATTCGCTTTTTTAAATGAAATTTTAAAATGAGATAAAAAAAATTACCACCTGAAAATTTCAGGTTACTGTTAAACATCTGAAAGAAAACTTTATCATTCAATATTACACTTTTTAAAGTAAAAAAAAAAAAAAAAGGTTAAACAATTAAGTTTTAGTAACCTAGACAGCTTAGAAAAGCAGATTTTCAATCACCACGTATCAGATAATTTTGAAACGAGCTGCAAGAGTTTTGATTATATTTAATCTGAATGAAACTGGCGATTATCTTTTTAGACTTTAGTAAAAAGGTAAGATGATTCAGAAATTTTTGTCTCTCAAGCGTAATTTTGTGAAATGACTAATGCTTGAAGGCATGGTAAAAATGAATTAATTTAACTAATTAATAATAAAACATTAAATAAAATTCATATTCAAACTGAACTGTCATATTACAAATAAAAAATGGAAAAGAAGTAAGCATTCAATCAAATAGGGAAAGCACTGAACCAAATTAGAAGAAATGAAAAATAATTTAATGAAAAAAAGATGTAAACTATAAATCAAACTTAAAGAATTGGAAAAACTCTTACTAAAACTCATACGGTGAAATTTTAATCCAGGGGTTAGAACACATGGAAGGATGCTGGTACAAAATGGCAACTACAGCTTGTGGAAAATGATAGCAAAAAATAAAATTTTCTGCTTTTCTGCAGCGAACATTATCCAAATAACATCTTCCATTGGCATTTAGAATTTCTAGAACCTTTTCACGTTCATTAAAATTTTTCATTTCTAGTTAACGACCCCAATTTAAAACCCTGAGATTTTACTCTCAGATTCTAGGGAAATTATTTCTTAGTTGTTTTCATTTTGCATTAATAGGGGGCGCCAGTAACTTGATTTCCCTTTTCTAATTTTTATTGCCTTTTATTGACTTATCATTAACTTCTCTTTTCTCATTTGCACTTCTGCAGCTGAAGAAGCAGGCTCTATATTTAAACTTTCGAAACTAGCCCTGCAAATTTATGAATATTAGTCTTATTCTTATTGCTTTACCTCCACCAATAATTGTTATTTGACTTGTTATTGTAATTCAAATTAGGCAAAGGTTTGAGTTAGAAAACATACTATCTTGCTAAAAAATATTGATATATGATGTATAAAACATTAATAAGAATTCCCCATCCTAAATAAAATAGATACTGCTATCACGTTCTACATTCGTTAAGGACAACTTTCCGAATTTCTAGAAGTTTACATTTGGAATTTTTATGCATTAACTCTTTAGAGAAGCTGGCAGGCTAGACAGTTATGCGAGATACATACGTACGTACGTATGTATCTAATATGTATCGTATGTACCTAATTTGGTATATACGTACGTATAGACGTCATACAAATCATGTTTGAGTTGCAGACAGATCTGGCCGGACAGTTATGCGAGATACTTACATACGTATGACGTATAGACGTCACAAAAATCTTCTGAACCCATTTTGAATCCATTTTTCAAACCGTTTTGGAAAAGTGTCGTTTATTCTGTCCGTACGTACAGATGTCGCGCAAAAACGTCATTTGCATAGTTTCTAGAGTGGTAAAAATGGATACTTTCGTTGAAATATGATATCCGAAATTTTTCGCGATTACAATACTTCCTTTACTTCGTACAAGGTAGTAAAAGTAAGATATTCTCCCAACAACAAAACTAAATATAATTTTATACTTAAAATATTTCTTTTTCCTTCTTTTCTTTCTATACCTCTGTGGTTTACTTCGAATGACTGTAGCTTTTAAATTTCATATCGTTTTCCATGTAATGCTTTTTAACTCATACAATATGTAAAATGTATCCTAGAAATAGCAGCAATGAAGAAGAAAAAGATATCTTCTATCAGCAAACGCTTCATAAAAGAATTCGTTTACTTCTCCAAAAGAGGAAGTGCGAATCCTTCAAATGGAAAGACTATATCTTATCAACGCACTCTTTGGTAAGGAGATTTTTTGTTTACTTTTCATACTCATTTTTTACGAAGTACATAATATGATTACCCAAAATGAGTTGTACCAGAATCATTTCGGTTAACTTGTATTGATGTTTTAAAAAATGATTTTGTCAAGTAAGCCGTTTGTTTCTGAATATTACTTTATTTATTTTAACTAAAAAGAAATTATTTTAAAAATTAAGCAAAAAGCCAACCTTAGACTGACGTTGAATTTGAATAACATTTTATTGATTTCAAAAGCGATCAACTCTGGCCCGTCTTCTTCAGGAGAAAAAAAAATTGCAAACCTGTAAGGAGAAATATATTTAAAATAAAATCATTCGAGGAAGAAATAGAAAATGAACGTAGCGTTCGTCGTCTGACGAGTAATACAGTAATGAATATGAAAAAGCTAAGATATTATTAGATTAGAATTTTGATAGCATTAGGAAGAACAGGATAGGAATTAATAGAATTAACTAAAAATGGTAAATTTTGTAAACTGAAAGACTTCAAGGAAATCCAGATCACCGACTGAAGAAATTTCCTAGATAATGTTTGCAGATCGCCGAAATCGCAGTAAGTAAACTGCTGTCCAGACGGGGTCACTAAAAGCCTGTCACTGTCAGGATCACTAAAAGCCGCTAGTGACCCTGATTACGGTACCGAAGGGCCCGGCTTGGAATTCCGCAGTAGGTATGGATGTAAATTTCCCGTCCCTTCATAGGCGGCAACGATGGTCATCTGTTAGGTGCTTCCATAATAAAATGACCACCGCTTCTGGCCTTAGTAGTAGCCAAAGTCTAGAAACGGCAAGTGCCCACCATTGGGCGGGGATGGGGAATTAATTAAACACTTAACGATTAATCGATAGTCTTATTCAAATTCTACAAAAGTCTGAGCTTGTTTTCTTGTCTAATTTTACTGCTAATTCTGCACTGACACATTTCACTTTTGATCGGAAATTCATTTTAACGCATTAAGTGTTTTAATTGACATACATTTATAATTTTTAGAAAAATATCTGTTGTGTACCCCACACGACTTCCTTGTACGAAATATTAAACTATACGCAATTTTTGCTCCTCTTCATTTAAACTTTATTCCTCGAATTTCATTAGAGAGATATGTCTCATTCAATTAATTTAGTTCTCACTTCGCGACATGGCTAAAATAAATAAAAACCTCAAAATATCTTTATTAAAAATTCAAAAATAGGGGAAAATATAAAACATGAAAAACAATTTTTACCATTAAAATTAGAATTTCTACGCAAAAACAAAAAGACACCAAAGGTGCAGAAACAGACTTATTTCACTACTCTGCTAAGTTTCGAATGTAAGCAAATATGGCTGCTATGGTAAAAAATTAGGCTTAGCCGTACTTAAACAACTTTTAAATTGTTGATAATTCTACAACTATTGTATGCAGATTAACTAAAGGCATAAAAACCTTAACCGGAGGATGAGAACAACATAATTCAATTATTTTTAAAGGAAAAAAAAAAAAAAAAAAAAAAAAAAAAAAAAAAAAAAAAAAAAAAAAAGCATAATTTACCAAGATATAAGAATTAAAAAAAAAACTGAGCTCACGGAACTGAGTAACAAAATGGGTCTCTCTTTCTCTCTCTATATATATTTACCAACTTTTGATGCAGTAGATTGCAACCGAAAAGAGAGGTGCACAACTACATGTTATAGCAGTCCTATATACAAAATTTCAACATCCTTAGATTGCTCGTTTTTGAGTTATGCAAGATATATACGTAGGCACGTACGTACAGACGTTACGAAAAAATCTCTTCTGAATCGATTTTATCCTTTTTGCAACCCGCTTTTGGGGAAAAAAAAAAGAGTCCTTTATTCTGTCCTTATGTACAGATGGCACCCAAAAACATCGTTAAATTGCATACGATACGGTTAAAATGTGTATTTTTGTTGAAATATGATATCCGAAAATTTTCGCGATTACAATACTAACAATACTAATATAAAAAAGAGCCCTTCTCAATTCTACGTCTTAATAATATAATAATCTTTTCAAATCTAATTAATATATAGTCTGTTTGAACTCAGAGATAAGTACGTAGTTCATTAGGTGGCTCAACGTTTCATCTTAGACAAGGACTTAGGAACCCTACAAATAGTCAAATTGTATAGTCAAAATGGGTGTAATGTAAGATACTTGTAATGGATTAACGAAACGCATGACAGGCATCTGTATTGTATTGGCATGTGATTTGAAAAAAGTATTTCTCTATTCGGTTACTATAATTTTTCTCCAACTTTGGCATGGGTACCGAAGTTTTCATTTTTGCATTTTTTTACCGCCTGTGAATGTCTACCTTTTCATGTGCCTCTGATATTTTTTTAAATTGATATATTTTCTGCAATACTACTATCAGTCGCGAAAACTCAAGAATATTCTCTACTTCGAAAGCAGAATTCTTCTTCTTTTTGGCTTTTGGAATCCGTCCACTGCGACCCATATACGACCCATGCCTATGACCTTGCACTACGAAGGTCATAAACAGTCGCAAGTGCTATGACGCTCATCCTTCATTCGGCTGTACTTAGCAATAACAATCGGAAACGTAAAGAAATGCTGCACTATTTTTTTCATTTTTTTATTTTAAATATATTTGTTTCATGAAGTACTATAGATTGATTCAACTAGCAAAGCAAAAGAAGTTCCGCTTGTTAACTTTTTATCTATTATAAATTATTTATCTTTAAAATTATATTTTATATTAGATGAAGAATTAAATGTAAATCATGGGGATTACTAACCTGAAGTGTTAAAAGTTCTTGTTTCCTGGTTTGGCAAAAAAAAAAACAAAAAAAAAAAAAAAAAAAAAAATTGCGAATTGTTTGTTCTTTGGAAAGAAAGAACTGATTTCATTGATATTGAAATGTTTTTATACATTTGCTATTTAGGTGTACATAGAACTTATAAATTTTGCTTTGGCTACATCCCGCTCATCTGGCAGAGCTTGCCCACTAGTTTTTTCTATTTTTTACTATACAGTTGGATTTATAGTTACTACTTTTAAAGAATTTTTACTTCTTCTAGGTGGCTGAAGAAAGCAGCTGTTATTGACAACAGAAGAATCACAAAAAATGACGTCGAAATTCATTTCATAAACAAGTTGAAGTAAGCGCTAGCGTATTACTAATACACTCACTTCCAAAACTTAGGCACGGAGAGGAAAATGCTAATTTCCGGAAGCCAATCAGAATTGAAGAGGATGCAATTCGCTGCAGAGGTAGATGGAAGTATGCAAATATGTTAGGTAACAGCCAGTCGCGCTTTCATGTCAAGAAATATGCAAAAAAGGCAGTCTTATAAGAAGCCAGCTTTATGAAGGGTTACAGAAGTAGATTTAAGTGCTGATAGAAGGTGTTTAAAACTTTCGTACAATTTGTTTTTAAGACATACGTATTTCTATGACTTCCAGAAGACGAATGGAAGATTCTGAGCGCTGACGTGCTATGAGGCGCATTGAAGCAGGAAAATAGATCACAGATGTTGCTATTTTCTTCGGCGTTCATCATTCTGTAATTTCACGTTTATGGATAAAATTCCAAACCACACAGACAGTTGTACGAAAGCCCGTAGCCGGTCGCCCAAGGGTTACAACCACCGCGGAAGATCGATATATTGCAATTGTGGCCAAGCGGAATCGCAGAGTGAATCCACACGTGTGACATATATGGTTACAGCGTCCATTGGTAAGGCTATATCTGCAGCTACTGTACGCCGAAAATTACATATGAGTGGACTGTACGCCCGGGTACCTCGAGTTTGTGTTCCTCTATCTGTCCAATCAAGAGGGGCACGATTACAGTGTTGCCGGGAACATGCCAATTGGAATGTGTCTGACTGGGGCACTGTCATGTTTACTGATGAGTCAAGATTTGCTCTGGAGCCAGATGACAACCGTATAAGGATATAGCGTGAACAACGAATGCGCAATCAGTCCCAAAACATCACCGAACATCACGCATTCCGAGGCGGAAGCATTATGGTGTGGGCAGGGATTTCATTAGGATACCGCACCGATCAGCACATCTTTAAACGGGGGTCCTTTGACGGCTGTCCGGTATCGAGCTGAAGTCCTAGAACCCATTGTGAGATTGTACGCTGCAGCAGTTCGCCCTACTTTTGTTTTAATAGACGATAACGCACGTTCCCATAGAGCTGACATCGTCGATGACTACCTGGAGAGCGAAAAGATTGCGCATATGGCGTGGCCAGCATATTCGCCCGACCTTAATCCCATTGAAAATCTTTGGGATGCTCTCGACCGTGCTGTATCTTTACATTTCCCACCCCAGCCACTCTTATTGAGCTGGAAACTGCTCTACAAGAAGAATGACGATTGCTTAGTTCTTCGGTGGTTGACCACCTAATTGAAAGCATGGTCACAAGGTGTAAACTTTGTATACAGATGAGGGGAGATCACATACCCTATTAATGTCCTTTTTTTTTCATTTTATACATAATTCTGTTTAAGTCCAGTATGTCATTATCTGAAAACTTATAAAAATTTAATATTGTTTTCATTTCTGTATATAATTATTGATTTTGTATTATGCACAAATATATATGCTACTTTCCTACCGAATTTTGTGTCAATCAAAGCAGTATTTGTTGATTTTTTTGAATTTTTTTCATCTTCGTGCTTAACTCTTGGAAGTGAGTGTATATTAAACATTAGTATATTTAAGCAAAGAGAAAAATGTTTCATTTTTCAAACGATTAGTTATCGTACTTTCATTTTTAAATAATAATACGACAAGGAATAATTATTTGAACAGACAGATTTCAAGATAATTTTGTGGCGACAGTACTACATTTTAATAGATTCAGTTGCGCTAAATTTTTTTCTCAAATGTCTTTTATTTGTCAGTCAGGATAGGATCTTTTGTACTTCAGAACAGGAAAGGCTAACAAGTCGACAGGATCGACCAGTCGATCTCGAAGAGATTTTTGGTTAGTCACAGCCGACAGTAGACGATTTCAAGACGCAAAAGGAACTTAATTGTGATTCACGGGAACAGACGGTGGCGCTCCTTTAATAACATGGCTGACATTGATAATTCGCTTTCCATGGCAATCGTAGCAGCATCCTACGTATTTTCTCCCCACCTTTTACGTGCCTTCGTGGTGGAGCAGTAGGACACTCGGCGCTTATTCGAGAGGTCGAGGTTCGAGTCTCGAAGAGGGCATTGCTCATTTTCCACATCTCCCGCATAAAGAAAACCCCTAATGATTCTACACGCCATCTAGCAAATCATTTACACGCCATCATCACGTGGCTTCTCTGCGCGCTCTCTTCTAAACCTTGATGTAGCAACACATAAGTTTGTATTACTGTATTCTTTGTTTAGTATGTAGTAATCACCATAGTTGTAAAACTGCATTAGCATTTCTGCATGGAAAGTAATTTTGTAATTAATATAATGTCTTTATGGACATAACAGTGATTTCTTTCATCAAACATAATAATACACTTCACCGGCCAGCCAGATGGTATAATAGTTAGGTGAGCCGACTGCGATGCCAGAGTACCTAGGTTCGATTCCCGGAGAAAGCATGTTTCTAACTGTCCATTCCTTCATAGGACGCTACGGTGGCCGTTTGTTAGGTGCCTCCACAATAAAATGACCATCATTTCGGGCCATTGTGGAATAGGAAAGTGCCCGCCATTTGATAAAAAAATAATGATACACTCCAATCATTGCATGGTATCTGCTATGTTTTTCCTAAAATATAACTGGACTTCATATTAATTTTTGCTCCAAAAGTCTTATACAGGGTAGTCCAAAATTACTGAGCGCGTTTCACATTTGAATTAGGTGCCACAAATAGACCACACGGGAAAGTTATTTTAACGTTTTAAATTTCGTTGTTTTAAATTGTCTTCCCAAGAAAACAATAAACATGCCTACACCTCCTTTTGTTCTTTTCTTTTTTCAAACATGAAATGCGTTTTAGACCACCCTTTATATTTTATAAGGTATTTCTCCCGCCTTCTTAACGTGCCTTCGTGGTGTAGTGGTCTGCACGCTGGGCGCGCATTCCAGAGGTCCGTGGTTTGATTCCCGGCAAAGGCGTTGCTCATTTTTCACTTCTACTGCTTCCAAAAAATACCTAATTTCTCTACAGTGGCGCCCGAACTAAAAAGGTGTTGGATGATGATGTTTCCCAGTACTTTCCAGGCGTTCGCCTGAGTCAATCCTCGGGGGAGGGACTTAATGTTTCTACATTGGCGACCGAACTGAAAGGCTGGTGGACGTTGTTTCTCTCCACCCAGGATTTGGTGAGTGGGTCCCCTAAAAATCCCAGTCGCCCTTTAAAAGGGAGAGTATATAAGGTATTTCTCCCCCCTTCTTATCTTGCCTTCGTGGTGTAGTGGTTTGCACGCTGGGCGCGTATTCCAGAGGTCCATGGTTCGATTCCCTGCGAAGGCGTCGCTCATTTTTCACTTCTCCTGCTTCCAAAAAAATATGTAATGTCTTTACAGTCTCATGAAGGATTATTTTCAGACCATGCCTTTTCTCATACAAAACAATTAGCATTTTATATCCTATATTTAAGAATCTGCATTTATTCGTGAACAAAAGTGTACATTTATTGGAGTGCAATCATATTTCTTTGGAACATCTCATAAAGGTCCAAACTCCGAACCACTTCTTGAATTTCTGATTTTCGTATTTACGTTTTCAGGCATCTCGGTACGTGCTATTTACAGTAGTTCCTTCTACAGCCCTTATATTTGTGGGCGAATGAAACAAATTTGTGTTACTGTGTACCATTACTACTAGTTAGTGTTGAAAACGACCACTCTTGACTAAACATCCTAAAATTTGCAACTACTCTACAGAGGGGCATCTACTGAGACTCTACTTAACTGCACATTTTTGTAACGACTTCAACGGCAAAGATCTATATATATAAACAAACCTCATAATTTGATTTTCCAATATGTTCGGTCTGATAGTCCTTTAGTTGAACTATCATATTACATCTTGAGTCCTTTTCAAAGATAAAAGTCCTTTTCTTAAAACATCAAGCATGATTTTATACCACTTCTTCTTTACAGTCTCCCAGAGTCCATCCAATGTTTTGGGAGGCCGCTTATAAAGAACTTGTTTTAAAAGTCCGTATACACAGTAATCAATAGAAGACACATCAAAGGACTTAGGTGGAATGCATTTAAAAGGAATAGCTTCAATTTCGTTTTATTTCTCATTTTTTTTTTTTCAAGAAACAGAGCAGTACGCTTGGATCCTTATCTTAATGGAACATAACACGGTGAAGATTGTGTGGATAAAGTGATGGAATTTCTTCTTTAAAAATAGGCGTTAAAACATATTTCTGATACTAATCCGAATTAATTTTGACATTTTTTTTGTTTCAACTGATAATCCTAAGAACAAAAATTTAATTTAGCTTTTAGTGTGTCCGCATTCTGTCTGCATGACTCGACTCCTTTGTACACTACTGGTACTACCCTTAAAATTCCGTTAGTTCTTGTAGTGATCCTTAAGAAATTCAGTTTCCTGTTCTTACCTGTATGAAATGTCTTTCAAAAATTTGATAATACGAACACAACCCAAGGAAAGACATTAACATTTTTGTTGTTCTGGGAGTGGCAAAATTTTGCACTGTAATAAGTTTTGATTCGTCAATTCTACCCTCATCTTGCGTTATTTTGAATCATAAGCATTTTAATTTCTAACATGCGTTCTTCTGTGTTAGGTTTTAGTGCCATGTCTTTCAAAAAAATAAACACTTCGTAAAAGGCTTCGGCGTATGTCTTAGATAATAAACGTTTTTTGCCTAATGTCAGACTCAAAATTTTATTTATACCTCTTTAGTATGTTGTCGTTATCTTCCTCAGATATAGAACAGCAAATGTAAAAATGCATACGTTCCGGATTGCTATGAAACATGGTTTTATTTGTGTCGTCTGACCGCATGTGGATCTGAAAGTATTCCAACTTGAGGTCCACTACGATCATATATTGCTTATATTTAAATTTTCTTAGAATGTTTTCAATACTGGATAAGAGGTAAACAGGATAATTCACGTTTTTGTTTATTAGCCCAAAAGAGCATTAGACCTCAAAGGGCTATTAGTCTCAAAATGATATTTTGTGTCGTTTCACTCACTACGTTGGCTCACGTTTCAAACTGTTACCACCAAATATTATCGCCATCTATTATATTTAAAGAAATTAAGTAATGAAGAATCTGCATGAATGTTTCTCACATTGTGAAAAAACAAAGCACCTAAGGCCATCCAATTTTGAATAACGTAGCCCTCCAACCGAACGTGAGCACTTGGAAACCCGACTTTTGAATTTCGAAGTTTTTTTATTATCTATTTCAAATTTTGTAAAACTTTGACGTATATTCGATTAACAAACTCTGTCATCAAAGCGAGCAATACGAACGCTGTGCGGAAAAACATTTTTATCTCCAGTACGCGAGACTGTGCATCGAAAATTCTAAAGATATGCTGTTTTTAAATTTTTTGTGAAATAGTTGTTGAATTGAATTTTATGTGGTTTAAGTACGAAGAGCATGATATTTAATAAATGAAAATAAAACACAAAGCGTTTAAAAAAAAAAACCGCCTTTCGGACATAATATAAAGTCTGAAAGTTTTTCAAGACTTTTTTTTTTGATAATCATACAAGATAAACGCATAGTTTACGTTTTTATTTAATTTTCATTAATCAATTGCGAACCTCCACGCTTTATATGGTGTTATATTTTGTCTTAATTAACACGAGATTATAATTTCTAAGATGAAAAATGCACTTACCTCTTTCGTTTTTTAAATAGAAGCAATGATTTATTCTAATTCAGGTTAGCAATCCATTAGGTAGAAATGAGTAACGTCGCAATATTTTTGTGATAGCATATCTTACTAAATTTTTAAATTAATGCGTTTTTGTTCGAGGTTTCATCTTATGATCTTTTGACAGGTCAAGACAAGAACTCACAGTTTTGGAATTCATTGGATTCTTAAAGTCTTTATGCGATGACAGAGGAGCTAAAATGTCTTCCGTGGTTAAGAAATTAGTGGAATATAGATCCTCCAAGAGCTCTTCAGAACAAAACGTAAATATAAAAATAGAGCTATTATAAATGCTTCATTTTTTCTGTACTTAGCAAACTGTAAGGAAAATTACCGTTCCTACAAGATAGATGAAATAAGAACACACGATGAGACACCTGATTTTTCGGAGGAGTTTCGTTTCTTAAAATTCTTTGAAAAAATTATCTTGATAAATTAGAATTTTCGGAGGTGTTTTACATCCATAGAAATATTTTCATTCGTGTTAATGATCGTTATTCTAATCCTTCTCTTCCATCAACTTTCCGAGAGTTATCTGCTGCTTTTTGATTACGTTTTGCTTAAGGTAAGGATGCCGTTGATTAACTAGTTAATTCATAATAATTCACCGATAACTCACGGGAGAGAACTATCTCAGTTCGGAATTTTCCTTTCAAGCAGAAAATAATAAATTTTACAATAAAAATCATCGAAAAATATATGCAAATAAGTACTTTAGAAAGTTCAGTTAATCCATGGAAGATCCATAGTCTGAATTCCAGCGAGAACATAACTGAGGTTTCATGTTTCCTGCTTTCATAAGAACAATTAGGATTTAGTTCACTGCGCTTATTTCTGAATTTAAGGAATCATATGATAATCAACTAACCACGAGAATAACATATTCTAACGTGTGTTAGTCTCGTGTTTGATTGATTGTTATATCCAGCTAGCAACTGCAAAATATATCACTCGAACCTAGAGAGGACATAATTGATTTCTCATGTTTCTTGCTTCCACAAAAGTTTAAAGGTCTTTACAGGATGAGACGGGAGGAAGTGAGGGGGACACCATAGCTTTATCAATGGTTTTAGAGGGATAGTTCCAATGGTATGGAAAGCATAACCTTTGGGAGTAATCCGAGGATCATCAATTCCTCTTCGTCTACAGCTAAACCATTCAAGAAGACTTTCTGCTCGCCAGTATTTTAACAGCTTCCATCCCGCACAGACACTATTCACTTGCAAATATCCAAGCCCTCCTTCAAGTTTTGGAACCAAGATCAAAGATACGGCACCCATCACCGCTAACTATTACAATGACAATGCATCAGGAGAAGGGACTCTATTACGTGGCTGTCGAAAAGAATGCCTCTCATACAAAAGTCTCAAACCCTAGAGGCGCTCCAAAGGAGTCGGACAGCGATCGGTGAGGGCGGCTCGCCTGCACAGTCCAAAGTGACGGGGCGACCAGAAACTCACATTCCACGACCCCACCAGGAGGGGAAGAGGAAAATTTATGTCGGAAAATCAGTGTGCCAAAGTTCAGGCACGAAAAATCACTTCGGCCATGAACAGAAACTTGATCTTTCCAGGCGTCCACCTGGTGGCGCCGCGAGGGAGGATATGGACAGCCCAGTATCAAGGTTCCAGACGCTCGTTGGCAACCTCAAGCAAGGCACTTCTCCTAGGAGCACCTAGAAATCATACGATATAGCCCCACCACAGACAGAGGAACAGACACGACAATACCAGTACGGTCCCTGTCACGCCTAAACCAACATGAGAATGAATTCAGGTTCTAGTCCTGTGAAGCCAAATTATATGTCCCCGTGGTTGAGACTGCCTAAGCACAGATCCTAGCCTGTACTTCTTAGGAATTCTCCTGAGTCAATCCCCGGGGAGGACGCTAAATATTATTACACCAATCAAAGCGGCTCACAGTCTCTACAGGTATAAGCTGAAACAAGCCAGGCAGCTGTGCATCCAGTTAGACATATTAGGTATCGCCGGGCCTTAGTAACTAAGTTTCCACCCCAAATGGAATTCCGAGAGAGAACACCTTCAGTGCTGTCCGAGGGTCTCCCATTCTTCTTTCCTTACCATTAACCTCTCGAGGGGATTTCGCTCTTTTTGTACTTCGAGCACCCTCTTGACGCGAAGACATTATTCGCTTACAAACATCCACGCCTTCTCCCGGATTCGAACCGGGGACCTTCAGTATAACAGTTAATGTTGCTAACCACTATTCGTCTGGATGGTTAACCGTCAGTTAAAATGGCACCAACTTAACATTTAGTGAAAAATAAAGCGTCATCATCAACACTGTTTAGTCTATTACATCTCTAATTTATCCCCAAGTGCTTTTTAAATGAGGAAGAATGTTAGTAATTGTTATATGCTTCTTGCGTGTTCTCGGAGTGTAAGTGCTTAACATGTCTAGTTATGATTGGATGATGCGTGGTTGAAATCTAGAAACGTCACTTTGGATTTTTGAGGTTTACTACATTTATAAAAACTTGATGATCTCAGTTTCTAAAGTTAGTTAAATATTCGAGAAATTTTTTAATCTTATCCCCCTGCTATGATACTCGGGAAAATGTTATAAACTTTCATTACTTACCTATCTAACGTGCTTTCTTTTCCATTTGTTTTCAATGCATGTTCAAAACTTTCTGCTGAATGTTAAATAATAATTCACGTTAGCATTTATAACGGTTTGTTTTACTGTTTTGTAGAGCACACAGCCTAGAAATCTGAGACTAACTGAACCAAAATCTCTGAATCCGACCATTGACATTTTTAAATCCACCCGGAAAGGTAAAATTTTAAAAGAAAAGGAAGTACCAAGCACATTGAAAGGTGACAAAAGTAATGCAAGACAGCAAATTCCCGAAAATGAACGTTGCACGTTAAACGAAGTGTCTGTTCCAATAAGCTTAAAGAACATTTCATTTGAGGACACCACTATGTTAGCAAAGGAATCTTTTGAAAAAAGTGACTGGGACAATACAAAGAGATTAGATGGAACCTTTCGTACTACATCACATAACACTGCCACATCGAGTTGCTCAAATGTATCTGTTCTCAGAGCAAGGAAATGTCGATCGAGTTTCAGCTTAGATTTACCAGAACTTATTAACTGTGATGAAATTAAAGTTCAAATTTCAAAATCTACTGGGAATGTTTCAGGTCCAGCGAGCGATCGCAACACCCAATACGGCGATGGAAACGATTACCATAAATCAAATATATCTTCAGTCAATCCTAAGAAGTATGAATTGGAAAGAAATGAGTCTAGCAATAGAATGTTGACCACCAGGGTAAAGGAAAATGGAAAGCACTGCCCAGCAGAAGAACAACTAAATGACGAACCTATGAATACTCTCTTGAAGAGTAATAAAGTTGACATTGGAGAGGCACCACTGGAAATACTTCAAGTTTTGCGTGAAGCTATTCAAACCGCGTCTGAAAATACCCAACCGCAGGATATAAAAAGGGTGAATAAGGGTATGGATAAAAATATGTCGCAGAGTAAGAAATTACTCTCTCAGCAAATCAGGCTTGAGTATGTTGCCAATATCATTCGAGAGGTTCTCTTTTTATGTGAAAAAGATGATAAAAGAAGCAATGAAGAAATTCATGCGAAGTGCATTAAACCCAAAATGGAAAGGACCGTTTCAAGTGAAGAAGTCTCAGAAAAGGTTTTCAAGAAAGAATTACAACATTCAGAACTTCCAGACCAGTATGAAGAAAATGGTAAAAAAGGGCAAGTAGCTCATTTTTTGAAAAATCAAATTAAAGGCACCAAAAGCCACTTCGTAAACAACATAAAAGAAGACCAGTATTTGGAAGCAGACATAAACAAAAAGCTTCAGACAGTATCTCCAAGTTACAGAGTTACTAACCTAAATAAAATGGTTTGTCAAAACTTAAGTGTAACTCAAATCAAGGGCACCGATCCTGATATTACTAACAAATACTCCTGTCATGATAAAATCCCGAATAATGCTATGGAAGATTTAACTAAAGCCGAGGCAGAACTAAACGTTGCAAAATCTGATTATAAGAAAAAACAGAATGGAAATGAAAAAATGTATAAGGTGGATGATTCCAGATGTATTAGGAAAGCAAACTGTTCAAGAAGTGAATTCAGTATTGCTAATAAATCTTTAAAAATAAAAGAAAATAAAGCATCTAATATCGTTAGATCTCATCGCAAAGTAATAAAAACGTTCACAAACTTGCCATTAAGAACAGTGCAGAAAGCATTTGCTATGAGTAAAAAAATTAAAAACAAAAAATTAAAATTAGATAAGTTAACAGTGGAAGACAAATGTAAGAAACTGCAAACTACTAAAAGTATTCTGCCAACTGCTGCTAAAAAAATAAAACAGTCTTTAATGACAGATGATTTGACCTCTCAGCGGAATGAAATGAATATAAAACGAAATACGAAAGTATTGAAAACTAAGCCTAGGCAGCTGTCAAGTTTGAAGTCTTCAGAAAGATTAAAACCAGACCATCTCGTGAGAAATAAAGAAAATTTTAAACGAGATATTAAAATTGCCTACAAAGTCAGAAGTCCAAAACAGAGAAATCCATTTCGTGAAACAGGAACCGGTAATTACGACAAGAGTTTTAAAACTAATGATATTAAAAATCTTGCAGTGATACTACAAGAAAACCAGTTGGCGTTGAGAAAACCATTTCTGGGGGCAGAAAAATGCAAGGCTAATTGGAAATTTATTGAATGCATGGCTAAAATAATTGAAAACAGTCACAATGTTAAGGATTCTAGATTCAATTCAGAGACGCTCAAAGATAATGAAAACGAAGGGTCAAACAAGAAAGCAAATAAACCTATCACCAGGAGCAAAACAGGTACTGACGTTTGCAATGCGAATACCGATTGCAGAAACATCGAGAATGTCACTGCTGATCTATCAAATTTAAATATTGTTCGCGAAAAGCATTTGGGATTTCAAAACTCTAATAGAGATGTCAGAATACCTGGTGAGCACGTAATGAAAACTACAGAAAGTGACTGCAAAACTAAAAATATGAAAGCATGTTCAGATGCACCTCAAAATCAGGTAAGAATGAAACGGAAAGATAAGAATAGTACGAAATTTCTCAAGAAAACGAACAAAAATGTAAGAAAGAAGTCTAATAATAATGGTAGAGCTCAAGTAACCGATAAAAATTTCTCGACGTTGGAAGTCACGAGCAAAGAAACATCAGAATTAAGTAAAATGACTAAATATTCGGGTTGCCAGATAAAAACTATGCAAAACAGAAATCAATTTCGAAAATGTCAAAAATACCATAGGAAGGTTAAGAATATAATTAATATTGAAACTAATTTTAAGGATCTGAGAAGTCATGCTCTTAGCGAAACAAATAAACAAGATCAGAATATGGCAAGCAATACATCTTTGCACATACAGTCGATGATCCAGGTTGCTTTTATGGCCGAACAAAGCGCATTTAGCGAATCCACAGAAGAGAATTTAGATGGAAAATCAAAAATCGCAGCAATCCACGATGTTGTTAAAGATAAAATGATTACTTTTAATGGATACGAAGAAGATTTTCAAGAGATTGAGGAAATGGCGACCTCTCAAAATAGCAGTGGACATGAAGAAATTATTTTTAATGCATGCGAGAAGGATGACCTTGAACAAAGAGAAGGAATAACCCAAATCCATACCAAGAAAATCGGCAAAAAAACTCGTCGTAAGGTGGCAAAGACTTTCACAAACTTGCCAGTACGAAAAGTAGAGAAAGCGCTTGCAAAGATCGAAAAGGAGAAGAGACGAAAGCTGATAAATATTGAAAGCAGGAAGAATACTTCACAAAATAAATCAATCACAGATAACACAGATAAAAGTAAAGCAAATACCAGTGCATCTAAAAATGTTAGTCACTCAATAACAAGAATTATTGCAAAGAATAAAAGCACATTCACTAACAGCATCCAAGATTCTAATATTCCAGATAATCAAAATGAAATTCCAGCGAATCAGGCAAAATCCAAATCTGCAAACAATATTCTTAATGCTGAACTGAGCGAGAACGTAAAGCCTAAGAACCCTAAAAAGAAAAAAATAAATAAAGCTGGCAAAAAAAGGAAACTGAAGAGAAAACATTTGCAAGACCCAGAAACACTTCTACAGTCCACTTTGGCAGCTTAAAACCACTCATTAGTACTGTGAAAAAAAGATAACTGCAAACATCATTTACTGTCGTCAAATATGTTTTTAAGATAAGTAATTTTTATTTTGTACGTAACAGAATAAAATGATTTAAAATGCTCCATTCGTTTCTTCTGCTTCCATATTCAAATTATGGGAATTTGTTGTCATTGAATGAAATGTCTTTAAAGTAGAAGAAAATTTCGGTAAATTATAAAGAGTATTCTTCAGCTGTTGTAAATGTTCTCTGATTAGAGTTTTTAAGTACAGTTGTCTTTTTCTACTTTGTGAATTTCGGTTTCTTTTTAATTGGCAGACATAAATGAGTCTGACGAAATGTTTATGGTTGCTAATGCTGACTTGTCTGACCTATAGTCAGACTAAGCCCAGGAAACTCCTCGTGGCAAGGAGCGCAAGTTTAAGTCTATTATTGGCAACAGCCTTAAGCATCTTACAGGTGAGAGTACGATTTAGATCAGTTCCGTCCTCCCCAAGTTTGATGGAGAGCACCCAGGATGGACGTGTCCGAGCGTCTCCTACCACCAACCTCTCAAAAGGACTTTCGACTCGCCCTAATGTTTAGAGTGCTTACATGCCGCACGGTCACTATACGTCTACAAACATCTATGCCCTCTCCGGGATTGGAGCCCGGGTCCTTCGGCACGGCAGTCGGCAACTCTAACCACTATATCGGTTGGGTAATAATGAATTTTTTTCACGCAGTGGATCAGTAGTAGAAGACAACCAACAGTAACATAATAAATTAATCAGAGAGTAAATATTTTGTCATATTCATATGAATCCTAGAACGAATAAAACATGACTCGGATGATAAAGAATATGGCTACAATGTGCAACCTTACATGCCTCGCAATGGATTGTAATAATATAAATGAGATTGCTGATCATAGCTAGTAAAAAGAAATCATATTCTTCTAAAAGCCAAGATTTTAATGCCCGAAGGGTAGTCCAATGATATGTAATGGCTCCTTTTAGAGAATTCCGAACATGCTGCATAGAATATATAAATTCGGTGACTTCCTTTATCACATCATACGGTGAATTCTTCCTGTCTCCTAGGAAATTGTCGATCAGTTAATGCTTTGTGTGACCTCGCTTTGTCCCTCCTGTAAACAAAGAGCTTTCCAATAGTTTCCCTAAAATCCTTTATAGGATTCATTCCATTGGCGGTCTGCGGTCCCACTGCCCGCATCGAAGACATGCAGTGACATCGAAGACATGCAGTGGCAGGCATCCGCCCGGAATCATGCCTGCCAGACAAGGAGTTCAACCAAAATGGACGATTTCCTTTATGCTAGGAGTTGGGCTGATCGCTGAATAAGATACATGGCTTGCTGTGTCTAAGAATGATGTGCTTGGCTTCTCAAAAGACAGCTTGTCCGCTTAGTCATCATCTCTGTATGGGGTCTTACATTTAAAGCTGCGTTTAAGTTATTCACGGGTATTATGGCTCTTGGCGAAACTCCTGGTGATGGAGGTGATGGACCTAAGTGTTCTAACCCTTTCGCAAACGATATTTTTAGCATATTTTACTACCAGTGGTGTATTTATATTTTTAAAAATCAATCATTTAAAATTCTTTTAATTTTATACTGGTGTTAATGATTGAGGTAGTAGAATGAAGTTTGTCATTAATAATTTAAGGTTATCTGATTCTGGATAATCTCTAATTTACTAATTAAAAATTAAATAATGTTGGTGTTCACATTAATGAAATGAATGAGCCTGCCAATTATTGTATAGCCATTTTATGCTTATATGAGATACTTGTTTCAAACACTACAGTTATAGTGTTTAAGTTCCCCCTTTGTTGGTAAGACATACTCCTGTGCGAAGTTCATAAACAGGACAACTGGTTATAAATTTCGTAAAATTTCAGTCTAGGGAAAAAAAGTAATAAATGACTGCCATGTGTAATTTCCCAACTTTGAGATTTTCAACTATAGTGTGGTTATACTCAGTTAATTTGAATTTTATTCTTTGTGCTTTCTGGAAATCTAGAAATACCACAAAGGAAGACTTCGACAAAGAAAGGCTTGCGGTCTGTGAACCAGTGATTGAGAATTTCTGTTTTAAAGAATTCTGAGAAATTATTTAATTGAAATTAGTCCTGTGCTTTTGCTTACATGTATAAGGTATTTCTCCAACATTCTTGGTGAGCTTTCCTACTGTAGTGGTAGCACATTGAGCCGGTATTTCAGAGGTCTGCGGTTCGATTCCCGGCGAAGGCATTGCTAATTTTTCATCTTTCCTGCTTCCAAAATACCTAATGTCTCTACAGTGACGCCCGAACTAAAGGGGTGGTGGATGATGATTCTCCCCACCCAGAATTTGGCGATTGGGTTCCCTAAAAACCCCAGTCGCCCTTTAAAAGGGGGAGTATATAAGGTAATTCTCCCACCTTCTTGACGAGCCTTCGTGGTGTAGTGGTCAGCACACTGAACCGGTATTCTAGAGGTTTGCGGAGAAGGCGGTTGCTAATTTTTCATCTCTCCGGCTTTTCCAATTAACGTAATGTCTCTACAGTGGTGCTCGAAATAAAAGGGTGTTGGATGATGATTCTCCGCACCCAAGATTTGGCGATTGGGTCCCCTAAAAAAACCCCAGTCGTTCTTTAAAAAGGGGAGTATATAAAGTATTTCTTCCGCTTTCCTAGCGTGCCTTCGTGGTGTAGAGGCCTGCAGGCTAGGCCGGTATTTTAGAGGCTTGCGGTTCGATTGCCGGCGAAGGCGTTTGCTCATGTTTCATCTTGACTGCTTCCAAAAAATACCTAAACACATTTCTCCATACAAATGTCACAAATTCGTAAACTGGCCAATTTCATATTCTTAAAAACGTATTACTTAACATTTTAAGAATTACTAGACGCTTATATTACATTTATCATGCCACGTATTAAAAATAACATCAGGTTTTAAAACATTTATGGTAGTTAGTTTTGAATATTTGCAAAAAATGAGTCTGTAACTTTAATTTTGGACACTGATATTATAGGATCAAGCACAAAAAATCTACCGTTTTATTACAGGTCGTACAGTAACACTATACGCTGTTGCGTTCTACGGGTTCGTGGAGTGATTGACGACAACACTTTATTAAAAATCAAAACAAAGTTTATTCATCAGTATTGCACAGGAGAGTTCCAAAGACACGTTTACAGCCGTCGAAAAGCTGCGATAAATACGCTGAAACAATCAGCAACACAGCCTTGAGGTAGCTCTCAGGCTATAACGGGGAAGGCAGTTTCAATGCAAAGCAGTAAAGTACTACTTTTGACTCGGTCGATCGCTCTTGAGCTAATCTCTGAACTCAGCTAATCTATTAAACTCAACAAACTACTCAAGATACTCTCTCAAGACACATTCCGTAATTGCCGGGTATTTTCAGCCTTTAACCTGTTTTCGAGAACATTCTCGGAAACACAGGTGTAGAGACATTAGGTTAATTGGGAAAGCAGAAGAGATGAAAAATTAGCACCGCCTTCCCCGGGAATGGTACCACGGACCTCTGGAATACCGGCCCAGCGTGCAGAACCCCTACACCACGAAGGCAAGCTAGGAAGGCGGGAGAAATACCTTATACAGGTAAGAATTCGTTCTAGAATGTTCTCGCTCCATGAATACACAAATTTTGTCACCAAATGTTGTCAAATGGACAATTTCGCGCTAAATCTGGCAACCCTGCTTTTCTTTGCCCCTTTTTGGTAACCCTAACGCCGCTTTGCGGGGAAGCTATCTTACCGCAGCTGGGCATTTCGTAACAACAGGGAATATAAAGGACAAAAGTGTTTACTGATAAATAATATAACGCCGTTTTATGTTTTTTTATTTTTTTAAAGCACATCTGTGAGATAACCACCGTCCATTACGATGCACTGAACGGAGTCAGCGAGTGAAACTGTTTATTACTTTCAGCAGTATTTCAGGTAGAATTGCTTTGACCTCTTCACTGATGCGATGCTTCAAAATGCCTAAGTTGGGGAACCCTCGAGTACCGAGCGAAGTTCTCTCAAAGAAATGAATTTTTGCAAAACTGCAAATTGAAAAACACAGTGCGTAGGTTTATTTGATCTCGCAGATCGTAACAATCGATGATTGGAGCGGATTGCCTGAAAAAAACATGACAGTTGAAATGATAGCAGAAATAAAATAGTGTAGATAAAATATGATTTTATTTATTAGATCATTTGAATGCTACGAATAAGAAGCGTATACTTATAAGGTATTTCTCCCGCCTTCTTGGCATGCCTTCGTAGTGTAGTGGTCTGCACGCTGGGCGCGTATTCCACATGTCCGTGGTTCGATTCCAGGCAAAGGCGTTGCTCATTTCTCATCTCTCCTGCTTCAAAAAATACCTAATGTTTCTGCATACTATTCAAAATATAAAAATCCAATATGCATCGTAGCAGCAATATATGGTTGATGTTCGTGAGATAAATAGATTGAATTATTTAGATTTACGACAAAGCACACGAGGGATTGAGGACTTTCCAAGGGAAACAGTCTCGTATTTACGTTAGACATTTTGGGAAAATCACGATAACTCCTAGTTTGAAAAATAAGTTAAAGACATTATTTTTTGCGAACTGCAAGATTTCCGAGAAATGGTAGTTTACCAAGTGGGATATATATAATAAATTTAGAAAAACGTTTGCAGCAGAAGTGTCAACACCTTGGAAATGTGCTAAGTTGTATGGATGGTAATTGTTCCGCTAGTGTAAATGCTATATGATCCAAAGGCGAAAATGCAAGGAAGATGCTGCAGCATATCTCATGTCTTGTGACTTGTTGGTGCTTCAAGCATTCAACCCAAAGGTTTTTACTTGTCATGGAGTGCTCTTGGCCAGTGGTCATATAAAAACGAAGCTCTACGCGCACCAAATGCTGCATTTGATAGAAAATGCAGGAACAAGTAAAATTACCCAGAATAGTAAAATTAACCAGAATCTAAAAGATAGTGGAAATAAAGCTGTTCGAGCTGGCAGCAGGAATGGTAGATTAAATAGACAGTTATTCCTAAGATGATTAGTACATTAATACATGAATTTCAATGAAATAAATAAATTGCATATGCAATATGCAGGCGTTATAT